TCCTGGCTTACATGAAATGATTGATCCTGGGACCGTCACCCTCTCTCATCCCCAGGAAGAAAAGGGCAACAATTTATTTATTTATTATTGATTGATTAATTTGTTTGTTTTTTGTTTGTTTATCAACAAGCACAAGAAAACAAGTAACAGTATAGATATAGACATGGACACATGAAAAAAATTGGCACAAATAAAAGGAAATAAATAAGCAAAACATAGCCATAAACACATAACATGAGTACATATAAATGGGGACAGTAGGACAGGGACGGTAGGCACACTGGTGCGCTTATGCACGCCCCCTTAGGGACCTCTTTAAAAACATGAAAGGTCCACGGTAGACAGCTTAAGGTAAAAGGTATGGGGGAGAGACTAACAACGGGATCAGGTAGAGTGTTCCAGACATTTACTACTTTATTGCAGAAGTCATATGAACTACTCTTAAAAATCCTGCCAAGAAAACTACATGGATTATACTCCTTGTACCTGCTAGAAATAAAGAAAGTCTTGAAGGCATATAATTGTAGTTTAACAGGACTTACCTATGAGTGCAAAGCCAAGGCAAATGCAAATTGTGAGATGAAGGACTCTCTGCATACTTAGACTGCCTTCTAAGGTGCCACAGAGCATTTGGCTAAGTGTTCTTCAGGCAGACAACCTGCTTACCAAGCAAAATCTGGAGGAGGGATTGAGCCCTTGGTCTTCCTCCTGGGTAGCTTATCATGACCATTAGGATCTAAATGAAATGGAATTCCTCAGGGCCTGAGTCTGTTTTGTACTAAGAACTGTAAGAAGTGGTACAGCTAACATAAAGGAAGTGCCCTTTAAAGCACCTATCAATAAGCAAAGACTTTTTTTTTTAAATTAGGGTTTATTGTAATAAAAAGTACAAATAAAAATAAAGGTCACAAAAAAGGGGGGGAAAGAAAAAAAAAGAGCAATACTTCCAATATTTTTCAATGCAATAGGATACAAAGCACAGTTTCAACCTCAATTTATGCTTTACATTTCTAGTACATCTGTGCAATTTCTATAGCTACAAAGTTAATTTGGTTATCAAAACTTAAAATCAAGTTTTCATATATACATATACATAAACATAAACATAAACATATACATATTTTGAGCATAAAGTCCAGAAAAAGTTTCCAAGTGAAAACCAAACTGAATAAGTGCTTCTCTTTAATTAAATCAATTAGCTTTGCCGTCTCCATCAATAAATAAAGACTTGAAGAGAATTTTGCTTTTGCCATCACTAGAGATGCTGGTTTTTGAAGCATTCCCAAACCTTAATGTAACATGACTCTGAGATCCCTTTCTTGCTTCTCAAATTTTGGGCAAGCACTCAGACATTCAGGAATCCACCGGCTATAATTATTCTTTCCTCAACCAATACTGCAAAAAAAAAAGAAGACATCACCAAATCTCTGAAATCTGGAATGATCTAACTGGATCAAGAATGGTTGCAGGAGTTGGGTATGGCTAGTCTAGAGAAAAGAAAGGCCAAGAGGTGACACAGTGTTCCAGTATTTAAGAGGTTGCCACAAAGAAGAGGGAGTCAAGCTATTCTCCAAAGCACCTAAAGAAAGAACAAGAAAAAAAAGGAGATAAACTAAGCAAGGAGAGAAACAACCTGGAATTAAGGAGAAATTTCCTAACAGTTAGAACAATTAATCAGTGGAACGCCTTGCCTCCAAGATCTTGTAGATGCTCCAACACTGGAAGTTTTTAAGAAGATGATGGATAACCATTTGTCTCAAATGAAACTGGAATACTGTGAATTCTAGCCTTGGCCAAGAAAGCAACTGGGTGAACTTAGGCCAATCAGTCACTCTCTCTCAGTCCAACACCCAACTCACCTCACAGGATAATAGTTGTGGGGAAAATAGGAGGAGGAAGGAGTATTATGTTTGCCACCTTGAGTTGTTCATAAAAATAATAAAGCCAGGATATAAATGAATAAAAGGCTGTCAAACTGTGTTTGGGGTTCACTCCAGGAGTGGGTTCTAAATTTTTTTACTACCGGTTCTGTGGGCGTGGCTTATTTTGTGGGTGTGGCTTGGAGGTCATGTGACTAGGTGGGCATGGCTAGCTGGTCAGAGTCATTTCTGGAAGGTCCTCGCACTTACGACCCGACTCATTTGTTTGCTTTTAACACTGATCAGCTGTAGGATGGCCCGTTGAAGCCCCGTGGCAAGAGTTTAAACAGTTTTTTCCCCCTCTAGTCATCAGCTGGGACTCAGGAGGCAGCAATAGATTGGGGGTGGAACCAAATAAAAGATAAGAATAACGTGGGGGGCTGGGAGGGCGGGGGGTGGTGGAGAACCAGTTCGGTGACGTCATATCGTCACCACTACCGGCTCGGCCAAACCGGACCGAACCGGAAGGAACCCTCCCACTTTGCTAAGTTTCTGACAAGAAATAATTGTCTGTTTGAACATCATTGATATATATCATTTATTATTTCAAGCCTGGGCCATGAAATGTTTTTTCAGAGGTGTAAATGATACTTAAAATTGCTGATGAAGAAAGGCCTAAAATGGGCATTTTCTGCACTACTAAGTAACCAAAACTAACCCACACAACTGAAATCCGGAGGAAGAGTTTTTAACGTCATTAGTCAACATAGTGTCTCTCCTGAGTAGGTGGATGAAGAGAACAAAGAGTGATACAAATGTTATTTTGGGACATATTAAGAGCAGCATTAAGTCCAGATCTCAAGAAGTAATCATCCCATTCTACTCTGCCTTGGTTGGACTCTGCTTGGAATACTGTGTCCTGTTCTGATACCTCAATGCCATCTAAAAAGGACTTTGACGAATTCACAAACTATAGATAGTTCAAAGGGGGGCTGCTACCTTGTTTCCCCGAAAATAAGACCCTGCCTTATATTTTTTTTGAACCCTGAAATAAGCGCTTGGTCTTATTGCCATGCGCTCAAAAGCCCAATTGGGCTGATTATCAAGGGATGTTTTATTTTGGGGGAAACAGGGTACATGGTGGATGGCTAGCCCACAGAAGAGAACACTGAAAGATAGTAGTCTTCATACATTTAAAATGATGTTAGAAGACTTGTTCTCTGCAGCTCAGCAGGACAGGCCTCCAACCAAAAGGTTGAAAGTATGAAGAAGGAGATTCGAGTTAGATATTGGAAGGAGTTTCTTGATGGTAAGAATTGTAAGCCAATGCAATAGGTAGCTTCTTCTGAGATAACTTTCCAACTATATAATTCTGTGCACTCTTGTGTTTTCCATAAGAACCATCCAGCAAACTTTCTGCTACTAATTTCTTCATTAAATATGTTGGACCGTTATGTCGTTATGTTACGTTGTGTTGTGATGTGATGTTATTGGATTTTATTATTATATTATGTATTTGGATAGACATAAAGGCTCATAATTAAGGTTAATGACTTACACAGGAGTTGCAGGATCCAATCTGGGTCAGTCATCAGGACCAGAGGTTTTGTCTTCCGAACTTTCAGGCTCATGCTGGAGCCCATCTTCATGGGAACTTCCCTCTGGCAGAGGGTGTGTGTCTCACCAACCCAGATTTGATCCTGCAACATTATCCTGGGACATGTATTTTTGCCTTCATTCATTACACAGGAGTCTTTGAGGAGCCATTTACATAATAATCAAAAGGGCAGAAGGAGGTTGTCGGTCCATGAAGTTAAGACTACAGGTAGTCCTTGATTTACATCCATTCATTTAGTGACCATTCAAAGTGACAACTGCACTGAAAAAAGTGACTTATGACCATTTTTCACACTTCAAAAAGAAGGCTGTGAAAATATTTACAGATCCCTCGCACCCTGGACATAAACTGTTTCAACTCCTGCCCTCAAAACGACGCTATAGAGCACTGCGCACCAAGACAACTAGACACATGAACAGTTTTTTCCCCGAACACCATCATTCTGCTAAACAAATAATTCCCTCAACATTGTCAAGTAGTTACTAAGTCTGCACTACTATTAATCTTCTCATTGTTCCTATCACCCATCTCCTCCATTTATGACTGTATGACTGTAACCTTGTTGCTGGTATCCTTAAGATTTATATTGATATTGTTTCCTGATTGCTTATTTGTACCCTATGACTATCATTAAATGTTGTACCTTATGATTCTTGACAAATGTTATCTTTTAATTTATGTACACTAAGAGCGTATGCACCAAGACAAATTCCTTGTGTGTCCAATCACATTTGGCCAATAAAAAATTCTATTCTATTCTATTCTATTCTATTCTATTCTATTCTATTCTATTCTATTCTATTCTATTCTATTCTATTCTATTCTATTCTATTCTATTCTATTCTATTCTTATGACTATTGCAGCATCCCCATGGTCACATTTTCAAAATTCGGATGTTTGGTAATTAAGCTCAGAATTATGACAGTTGCAGTGTTCTGGGGTCATGTGATCATCTTTTGTGACCTTCTGACAAGCAAAGTCAATGGGGAAGACAGATTCACTTAACAACTATGTTACTAAGTTAACAACTGATTCAGGACTGTCATTCTGCTGCACCAGCCATGTTTCGCCAGATGCCAGTCTGCCATAGATGGAGTGGGGGGGAGAGAGTTGCAGGGAGATAGAGGGGAGGTTTGGATGAGGGGACTTGAAACTACTTTTTGTGTCATTTGTTTGAATGTAATTGGATACTTTGAGATAGCCAGGGAAAAAGTGGGGAGAAGGGAAAAGTTCACTAGCTGCTTTGAGCAGGAAACCTCAGATCCGGCTTTGCTACTCTGTAACCACTTGGCTTTAGTAAAGTATACTTTCATTAACAATGGATTCAAGAGTCTTTTTTTTCTAACTGACCAAGTTAGGATGGCTGACAAACTGTATGGCTCACTTAACAACTATGGCAAGAAAAGTTATAAAATGGAGCAAAACTCACTGAACAACTGTCTTGCTTAACAACAAGGACTTTGGGCTCAATTGTGGTCGTAGGTTGAGGGCTACTTGTGTACCACACAAAATCATGCACCTGAAGTTTCCATCGCTCTTTTATTTGAGTATGATTTTTAAGAAAATCCTCTCCATTCACATCCATTTTCAGTTGTTCTCCGTATATCTCCTTTACTATATTTTCCTGTACACACTTCACGGTAAAGTTGCCTGAGAATTCCTTTCATTCAATTCTGGTCAGTGATTGTCTTTGGTTTGGTCTGATCTCTTTATGCTGCACCTGAAAAAGGGAAAAAGAAATTATTAGAGCCATTACTGTGTAACTGTCAGTGATTCCACAATGTATGTACAGTAGTAATGATACAAAAACACCAGAGTTCAGTGCAGTTTCCTTGTACAAATGCTTTGCAGAAACACTGGCATAATATCACCCTACTTAAAATAGCACAACTGCTATGTCCATTTTCAAGCTATTCACAGTTTAATCAAATCATAATAAAAAATATTCAGATTTATATCACTCAGTGGCATAAAGCTAGAGATGAAACTGTTGTGGGCCACCAACAGCCAGCGGAGCAGGTGGCAGACTCAGACAGTGAGGAGGTTGGGGAGGAACGTGGGCCAATCCTGGAGTCTGGGGAAGTTTCTGATGAGTGCTCTGCGTTGGAGGCAGGGATGGAGCCAGGGCCATCTGACAGTTGTCAGCTGCCTTTGGAGTCGGACATCAGTGGGGCAGAAGAACAACTGGAGCCTGTACCCAGTGTGTGCATGTCAGAGCTGCCAGGAGAAGGGAACAGCTCCGGAACAAGGGTCGACTCAGGAGTAAAGCCACAGACGGTGAATGGCCCCTCCCATAAAGAGGAGTGAAAGGGGAGGGGAGTTTGCAGGAGACAATTAGTTCACTTAATTGGTTTGTGACTCTCAGAGACTTCTTGCCAAGTTTTGAAGATATTGGCCTGGCAGCTCTCCAAGCCAGATAAGGTCTGTGACTGTAAATTCTCCCTTGAAAGACTTTGCTGGATGTGAATGAGAGGAATTCACATTAACTTAATAGAAAGGGGTTTTTGTCGGGACAAGGAGTCTGCTTCATGCTCTTGGGAAGCCTAGGTCAGAACAGAAACCTGGAGACTATAAGTTCTACTCCCACCATAGCCATGAAAGTCAGCTGGGTAGCTTTGGGCCAGTCATTCTCTCTCAGCCCAACTCACCTCACAAGGTTGTTGTGGGGAAAATAGGAGAAGGAAGGAGTACAGGTAATCCTCAATTTACAAATGTAATGGAGTCTGCCAATTACATTCATAACTCGAGGATTCGTAGGAGTGAATCACGTAACTGGAACATGACCACTTCCTGCTTTCACCCATGCATTCACTAATAAAATGTGCAGGTCGTTAAGTGCACAAAGTATCTCGGGGTGGGAAAGGCCATGGAGGGGGGGGCTAGTGATGGAACAAGCCCCCAAGGCCTCCCCTACTCCCTGAGATACCTCATGCTTCCCCCCTCCCCACAAGATCATTTCACTCTTGGCATGAAAAGCGTTTGCAAGCTGACCAGACACTGGATGCAAAATCATCCTGCTCTCCTCTCCCTCAAAGGGAAAGAAACCATGGCAGAGAGGAGACAAATCTTTGCAAGTAAATGAGTCTGGTGCAGCAGGATGGGGGGGAGGAAGCAGTTGTGGGGAGCGGAAGAGGGGGGAAATAGAGTGAATGTTGCAGAGCCTTTGCGGTCATTCGTAAAGAATGACTGCCATGGTGCTACAACATTCATAATTTCAGGATTTGGTCGTAAACACTAGGGGGCGCTTATTGTGTAACTTCAAACAGTCACTACTTAAACTTGAGGTTTACCTGTATGAGATAGGTTTGCTGCCTTGAGTTAACGGTATTTGTAAAAATAATAAAGGCAGGATAAAAAAAAACAACTAAATTAAAATCCTTAAAGTGATACAACTGCCTTGTGCATTTTCAAGCCACTCACAGTTTAAATCAAACTTTAATCAAGACGTAATCCAAAATATTCGGATTTACACCATTCAGTGGCACAAGGCTAGTGATTCTGGGGGCCAATTGAGATCAAATGCATCTTTGGCAACTATATATGATAGGAAGGAAAAATGGCTGATGTGAAGTGATTTGAGTTGACATAAAGGAACGGAGTAGTAACTCACCAATTCCTGTTGTGTTATAAACATGGGTTTCCAAAAAACTGCACTTCTCACGTGGCAAAAACTGCATGATTTGAGGTGCCTCAGTGCTGATATGGTAGATGTTTTGTTCAGTAGCATTGTAATGTGGCCATTGAACTTCACCGGGAGTGAATTTGGAAGGATTCCTGTCAAGGAAATAAAATGATCAGATTACAAACAACAGTCAACTTGAACTACAAGATTAAGGATACAGTGACTGACATGTCAACTTCACATTCCCTCCTGACGAGCATTTTCAAGTGATATTGGTTTTGGTTACTCCTAAATCAATTATTTTCAGCAGTGGAAGTCAATCACAAGGCAGATCACAATGCCTAGAGCAGAAGTCTTCAAACTTGGCAGCTTTAAGACTTGTGGACTTCAACTCCCAGAATTCTCCAGCCAGCATAGCATAGTGGTGGCTGCAGGAGGCTCCACCCACCCGTCTGGACATCATCACGTCCTGTTTTTGATGCTCTGAGCATGTGCGGAAGGTCCTGCGCATGCGCAAAGGTGGTGTGTGTGAGTGAAGCAAGCGCACGAGCGCGCACGCTCACATTTGCGAACCGGTAGCGAAGGTAAGTGAATACCATCCCTGGTATTTACTATTCATTCCTTTAGGAATAGAAGTTGATGTGAGCCAAAATTGACTTCGGTGAAATTGTTCATTTCAGCATCAGGATGACAGAGTTGGAAGGGACCTTGGGGGTCTTCTAATCCATTCCTCTGCTCAAGCAAGAAACCTTATATACCATTTCAAACAAATGGTTATCCAATCTCTTAAAAACCCCCAGTGTTGGAGAACTCACAACTTCTGGAGGTAAATTGTTCCACTAATTAATTGTTCTCACTCTCAGGAAATTTCTCCTTAGTTCTAAGTTGTTTCTCTCCTTGATTCGTTTCCACCCTTTGCTTCTTGTCCTGCCTTCAGGTGCTTTGGAGAATAGGTTGACCCCCTCTTCTTTGTGGTGGCCCCTGAGATATTGGAAGATTGCTATCACGTCACCCGTAGTCCTTCTTTTCATTAAACTAGGCATACCCAGTTCCTCCATACTGTCTATCTAATAAAAATACCAGAACCCCAGATTCATGGAAGAACTGCCCTAGTGCTATGCTTAAGCACATCTCACAAGTGTGTCTTACCCACTTCTGGCAAACTGGGCCCAGTAGTGCATCACCCGTTGACTTAGTACCCTGTCAGCTTCTTCATCTGATTGATTGAGTCCTGGAAGTGATGAGAGGGTTCCAAAGAGAAAAGGGACCTCAACTCCATGAGCTGCACCCATCCATTCTTGCCAGACGGAAGTCGAAATTTGGTGATCGAAGGAATAAACATACACAGAGCCCTCCACTGCCACCATCCTTGCAGCAACTTCAATGAGCGGGCACACAAAATAGTAATCTCTGCTAAAGTGAGCTAAGATCTGACGGTTCAGATTTGACCCGTGTTTCATTTCACTGTACTTAAGCAATACAGCCTTGACAATATCTTCTTCAAAATCTCTTCGTAATATGATGCCTACAGCTGATAAGGCCTGCTCCCAGGTCCTATTTTTGTCATCTACATTGTTCAGAACTCGAGGTATAAAGACTGTGCCATCCTCCCTTGTAATACCTATAAGTAGTGGCTTTGCTGGAATTTCCCCCTTCTGTAGAAGTATCTTTGGATCTTCGGGAAGGAAATCGCCATCATATGTGGGTAAGAAAAAAGAACTGAAATTCAGAAACGCATCGGCTTCCTTATTTTGGAGACAGCTCATCACAGCACTGTCGTTCCTTTTTCTGCAGTTCAACAGACCAATTATATTAACGGTACGTTTCTGGATCTTTTCAGGTGGCATCGAAGCCCAGGGTGCATTGGGAGCTCCACTCTGGAGCACCGCTCGGTCAAAAAGGGATTGGCTTATAGGAGAGAGGAGGTGGAAACCCACAGAGGCTGCTCCAGCACTGTGGCCAATGAGAGTCAACTTATCTGCATCTCCACCAAAGACTGCTGCATTTTCCTTCAACCAATTCAGAGCCAGGTATTGGTCCCATAAGCCCATGTTCCCTGGGGCTTCCGGTGGGAAGAAGAGAAAGCCCCAAATCCCCACCCGATAGTTCATAGACGCCACAATGACATTTTCGGTAGCAGCTAATGTTGACCCATTGTATAAGTCCGAAGACCCTGCACCAACAGTAAATCCTCCACCGTGGATCCAAACAAGGATAGGGACTGACACAGAGGGCTGGGGGTGAGGCACCCAAATATTGAGGAAAAGACAGTCTTCGGAATGGGGCTTATTGGCAACCCATATTCTTGAAGGATAGCTAAAAAAGGTCCATTGGTGACAAGGTTTCCCAAAGCGGGTAGCCTCCAAGACATGGCTCCACGGTTGATGTGGGACAGGTTTCTGGAAGCGCAGTCTCCCTACCGGAGGCTCAGCATATGGAATTCCTAGATAGGCATTTACGGCACCAGATCTAGTTAGGACTCTCATGCCTTTAATGGATCCAGAGCTGGTGACCACCACGGTGTCATTTTCAGAGACGTCGCCGGAAATCAGTTGGCAGAAACAAAGCCCCAGGAATGCAGGGAGGAGAATAGGCATGACAGCAATCGGAACGTATATGACCCAGGATCAGAATTTACACCTTGGCTCTGATCTGTTGAAAGACAGAAAGAGACCAAAACGAAAAGAAAACCAGCTGCTGTAAAATCTAGCCCATCATCTTTAGTCATTAGTCAATGGGATACAGCATATGGCAGTACCTGGCCTCAGAAGACAAATAGGGTTGCAGTTGGTTAGGGAATTCTTCCAGGAATGGTAAGGCTATGGGCTTGCCTGGGAAATAGGAAAGCTATCTCCAAAGAAGGAACTGAAAAGGCCTTCCATATTTTTGCTGGAAGAACTACAAAGACATGCGAATGAAGTCATCAGAAATCAAGTTTGACTCAAAAGGTCCTGTCCACAATGTGGATCAGCCAAACCTGTAGACATTTGTTTGCTTGTTTATATCACATGTTTCTAGACCAAGGGTGTCAAACTCAATTTCATTGAGGGCTGCATCAGGGTTGTGTTTGACCTCGAGGGGCCGGAGTGGGTGTGGCCAACTCGACATCACTTGTGTCTCCCGAGCTCCATTTTCAGCTGCGACGGCCTCCTGCCAGTGAAAGCGGAGCTCGGGAGGCCCGCCCGCAGCCCTCACAAGCTCTGTTTTCTGCTGCAACTGCCTCCTGCAACCCTCTGCCAGTGAAAATGGAGCTCTGTTTTCATTGGCAGAGGCACTGTAGGCCAATCCTTTGCCTTTTCCAGGGCGGCCCTGTAGGCCGGATCCAGCCTGCAGGCCTTGAATTTTACACCCTGTAAACAATCCATCTCCCTCCTATTTCTAAACATACTAAAGTTTAAATTAAACAAACATTTGCAGCTGGTCAATAGTTAAAACAATAAATGATTACACAACCTGAGAGTCCCCAGTTGCATCATATTCGGTAAATATGCCTCATACACTAGATCTAGACCTTTGGCTGCAGTAACCATAAGACTATGACACTTTGTGGAGAAGAATTATCCAGTTCTGCTTTTCCAGTATAGATTGCCAAACGAAGGAGAAAAGGAAATGCAATTATACAACTAAAAAAAGTTAATTTTTCAGGATCTGTTGCTCCATGACAGCCAAAAGATACCACTGATTTAACCAACCTTGAACTTCTTTAGCAAATAAAGCTGTAGCTATTCAACAAAGCTGTGGCCTTTGGGATTTTGCATCATCCTGTTTTGCTCATTTGGAGTAAATTTAAAAAAATTACTCCAAATTCTACCTTTTGGGGTACATAGTAAGTAGTAAGGCCTAATGATCAACATTAACAACACAGAGAAAGATGCATGCCCCTGTTCAATATTTCCTGTCAATGAAGATTCATCTAAATACACAATTAATTTCCAAAATACTAAACAAAAGAATTGAGTGGAGGCATATGAGGCTAAAACAAGATTTTATCTTCCTTTCTGGGGCCATACCTTCTCTTTTTTCCCCTAAAGCACGCACCTGTTCTCTCCTTTGAAGTACATGGACCTTCTTTCCACCACAAATTCACATCTGTTCTCCCTTGGAGACACTCTTGCTCCTCAGAGATTCCTGTGGTCATCTGAAAAGAATAAAAGCAGGTACAAAAACAACCAGTTGGTTACAGCCGAACAATAAACGAATGAATGAAGTTGTGGTATAATGTGGCAGGTATTCGAAAAAGAAAAGAAAAGGGGCTGAATGCTAGATTCTTGTTGTAGCGGTCTGGAAGGAAAGAGAATAAATAAAGAAAATACTTGAAGAGACGAAAGCAAAATGGAGAGAGAGATTAAGGAAAAGATAAAGATGCTTTTTTAGACAGCAGGGAATTGATAAGGAAAACTGGAGGCATCTAGAAAGCAGTAAACGTGTCTCAAACAGAAAAACCAAACCAAATAAAATGTAGATGAATTAGAATACAGAACAACAGAGTTGGAAGCAACCTTGGAGGTCTTCTAGTCCAAACTCCTGCTCAAGCAAAAGCCATTACAGATTTATTTATTTATATTTATTGGTTCGATTTATATGCCGCCCTTCTCCAGAGACTCAGGGCGGCTTACAATGCATTAAGCAATAGCCTTCATACTTTTGTATATACCCGCTTAGTAGGGCTTTGCCCCCCCCCCCCAAGCAGTGTTCTTTTTTATACAAAGTCAGCTTATTGCCCCCACAATCTGGGTCCTCATTTTACCTACCTCCGAAAGGATGGAAGGCTGAGTCAACCTTGAGCCTAGTGAGAATTGAACTTGCAGTAATTGCAGGCAGCTGGCAACTAAGAGCTACTTTAACAGCACTTAGTCCACTGCGCCACCAGGCTCTTGATTAGAATGAGATGCCATTACAGATGCCATTACAGATGGGTCTCCGATCTCTTCTTAAAAACCTCCAGTGTTGGAGCACTTGTGAAGGCAAGCCATTCCACTGATTGATTGTTCTAACTGTCAGAAAATTTATCTTTAATTCTAGATTGAACCTCTCTTTCTTAAGCTTTCATCCATTACTTCTTGTCCTGCCTTCAAGTGCTTTGGAAAATAAATTGACCCCTTCCTCTCTTAGACAGTTCATCAAATATCATCCCGGATGACACCCTTCCCTGCAAACTATAGGTAATCCTTGACTTATGACAATTAAGCCCAAAATTTCTCGCTAAGCGAGACAGTTGTTGAGTTTTTATTCCATTTTACAACCTTATTTTTTACAAGCCATATTTTCAGTTGTTAAGTGAATCACTATAGTTGTTAAGTTTATAACATGGTTGTCAGTGGTGGGTTCCTCCCGGTTCGGCCCAGTTCCACTGAGCCGGTAGCGGTGACGATATGACATCACCGAACCAGTTCGGCCCCCCCCCCCCCCGCCCCCGCAGTTATTCTTACCTTTTATTTGGCCCCACCCCCAATCTATTGCTGCCTCCTGAGTCCCAGCTGATGGCTAGAGGGAAAAAAACTGTTTAAACTCTTGCCGCGGGGGCTTCAAAGGGCCGCCCTACAGCTGATCAGTGTTAAAAGAAAACAAATGAGTAGACCGGTGCCTGCAAAAATAAATGGGTAGACCAGTGCCTACAAAAATACATGAGTAGATCAGTGCCTGCCAAAATAAATGGGTAGACCAGTGCCTGCAAAAATACATGAGTAGATCAGTGCCTGCAAAAATAAATGGGTAGACCAGTGTCTGCAAAAATACATGAGTAGATCAGTGCCTGCAAAAATAAATGGGTAGATCGGTACAGCTCTGCAAGCAGTTAAAAGCCTGATAGACCAGTACCTCTGCTAAATCCTAAATAATTGTCACATGACCATCAAGCCACGCCCACAAAATAAGCCACGCTCACAGAACCGGTAGTAATAAATTTTAGAACCCACTCCTGATGGTTGTTAAGTGAATCTGGCTTCCCCATTGACTTTTCTTGTCAGAAGGTCACAAAAGGTGATCACAGGACCCTGGGACATTGCAACCGTCATAAATACAGGTCAGTTGCCAAGAGTCCGAATTTTGATCACTTAACCATGGGGATGCAGAAATGGCTGTAAATGTGACAAACGGTTGTAAGTCATTTTTTTAGTGCCGTTGTAACTTAGAGTTGTCACTAAACAAATGGTTGTAAGTCAAGGACTACGGTTAGTTGGAGACTTGGGAGTAGGCTTATGTAAAAGGAATTGAACAGGAGTTGAAATGGATTCTTCTAGACCAGGGCTGTCAAACTCGCGGACCTCAGGCCGGATGTGTCACGTGCTGGCCACGCCCACCCCCGTTTTAGCAAAGGGGGGGGGAAAGTAGTGATACATCATGTGACAGCAATGTGACGACGCAAGTTTAACATTCTAGGGAATCCCATTTAGAGTCAGTTCCTTAAACTCAGAACCAGCCACTGTGTTAAAGCCGGAGCTACACAAACAACAACTGCAGAGGAGACCGCCTTCTACTATGTACATACCAAGGGCATTGACCACTTGAATTCTGCTTACTCTTGAAGTGAAAACAGCATTTCAGTTAAGAGCACCTGCCAGAGAGACAAGATAGATGGGAAAGTGAATAAAACAAATGCCAGAGATGGCTAGTAATATTCCTGGCTATGAATAACAGCAATGGAATTTTCAAGAATAAATTAAAAACTATTGCTTAAGTGGAACCCTTGGCAGTTTAGATACTTACCGCTAATAATAATATTTCCTAGTACGTGATTGTCCCATCATGAATATTTGTTTCTAAAGAGCAGCGGCAAGGCACCTGCACAATTATTTCCTTCTTCTTTTTCCCTTCTTGTAATTGGAGTGCCATAATTTTTTTTGGAAAGGGTAGGCTTATACTTATAAACATAAGCTATGAAGCAACAAGGAAACCATAATATCAAACCAGTATCGAGAGTAAAAATAATGCAGTGTATAATGTCAAAGTAAAAACAGTAGACAGTAAGACTGTGGCAAGATCTAAAGTCATTATAGATCCCTTCAATTGCCTGCAAGAACTAAAAGGTCTTCAGGTCAACCAAGATGATTCGAAAGCAAGAGTGTCCAAACTCTTTAAGTTTGGACACTTTAAGACTTGTAGACTTCTACTCCCAGAATTCCCCAGCCAAAATTCTGGGAGTTGAAGTCCACAAGTCTTAAAGTTGCCAAGATTGGACATCCCTGTTCTAAAAGTATCATAGTAGAATTGGTCTCTGTCCATTTTCCTCATTACTGGGACATCTGGAGAGAAGCCTTGAATAACGAATTTAGAGATGTTCTGGATGGTATCCACCAACCACTTTTTCTTCCTTAGTTGCTGACAAAAATATGGGGCAAACTTTATGAAGGCAGGAGGGTAAGTATGGCGATTGCATCTTGACTTGTGAAGAGGGTTCATTTGTCTTGACCTGGTTTTCATCAACAGACTGGAATAAGCTCGTAACCAGAGCATTTTTGGGTTGAGGAGAGAGAGAACTGGGTAGCAAAGGAAGTTGTTTACCTAGTCAGTGAATTCCCAGCTAATCTGCCTTCCCTGCCTGTGATTCGACCTGTTGAAATTCTTTCCAGAATAACAAATCTCATATGACGCACAAGAGTTCCTCTGATGCCAAGCCCAATCCAATTATGATAACAATGCATGAATAGTTATCAGCAGCACTGTTTCCTCACCTGTTCCACCCCACCCTCCAAACATTTTCCTTTGCTTTCTCCAAAACACCCTAAAACTCCCAGCTGGCATACAAACCTGAAAATAAGACAGCAGCAAATTCATCTCATTCCATCTCTTCCTAAGGCAACATTCTTGGAGTAACCCCCATCCTCCTTTGTGCTGCACCCTGTGGCAGCACCCTATAAACAATTCAATATCCAACTTCAAGAAGAAGACAAAGGCCATTCGGCATTGTCTTACCTGCCCAGCTCTGTCCCTGCAGGGCCTGCCTTGTTTTTTTGATACAATCCTGAGAAGAACTGAGAGGAGTTTGCTCCCCGTTGTTGTTCCTCCTTCTGCCCTTTGGTACTGTTTGCTGCCTGCCTCTTACCTGAAATGGCCCCTAATAAGCCTCCCACCTCATGAAAACCTGGCTTCCTTTCCCTTTTTGTCTCTCATGCATTCATTCGGAATTTTCCCAAGGGGAGGGAGAAAAGAAAGGAACTGAAGTAATGGCCAGGATTGTACATTCTTGCCTTGAGAAGGGCTGAGCTGAAATTTCTCAGAAGAACTTTCTACACGCAGTCCTTGACTTACAATCATTCATTTAGTGACCATTCAAAATAACACCAATTTTTCACACTCAGAATTGTTGCAACATCCCCATCGTCACTTCATCAAAATTCAGATGCTTGGCAATTGGCATGTATTTATAATGGTTGCGGTGTCCTGGAACGAATCCATGCTGCTGCAGCCATCTTTTCGTTTCTCAGCTTGCCACACACTATGAGGGGGAGGGGTGGGGGAGGGATAAACGTGGAATGTGAGACCAGAAAATGACAACAGATCATCCCATGGGAACCAAGGTCATCCCAAAAGGTGCTAGCCAGCGACGTGAAGGAATTAGCAGAGAGACGCCAGAACGCCTAATTTAGGGGTATCAAACTCAAGGTCCGGGGGACAGATCCGGCTCATGGGGTACTTAGATCTGGCCCATGGGGCCTGTTGTAGCGCGGGAATAACAAGAGGCACAAGCAGGCTAGTGACAACAACTCTTTAATTCAGGGTGAGACTTCAGCAAAGAACCACAGGCAACAGCCCTCCTTATATACAGTACTGAAACACCCGTTAACCAATCACAAAGCATTGTTGCATTTGAATTTCCCACACAAAATAGATACATACATAACACCCCTCCATTCCCAGAAGGCACTTATCCTATCTATTTACATATTTACATACAAAATCACGCAGGTGACCAGGGCGTGACTTTACTCTGGTTGACCTGTGCAGTTCAGTTGCTGGAGAGGCGTCGAGCCGGTCAGAGGGACCTCCCGTCTCTCCTGGCTCCGCCAATGGAACCTCCTGGATTTCTCCAGAGGCGTGGCCATCCCCGGCTGGGAGTGTCGACTTGCTGGGGCGGCGCTGGAGCTCAGGCTTGCCCAATAAGTATTTCGGTTTACTCGGCCTTGAGATAGCTGTTTCGGGGAAACTTTTGAAGTTAGATTTTACAGTGTTGGAGTTTTCACAGGCTTCACAATGCAAATGTTTACGCAATTGATCTATGTGCCTTCTCCAAATTTTACCATGCCCTACGTCCACTATGTATGATTTTGGACCGGTGATCCCTACAATAACTCCCTTGATCCACAGTGGGCCATTGGCATAATTCCTAGTGAATACCGGGGTTCCGATTTGGAATTGTCTTAATCCTCCCTCTTCCCTCTTGTAATTGTCTGTGGAGTAGTCTGGGTGTAAGCGATCGAGAATGCACCTGAGTTTACGGCCCATTAAAAGCTCGGTTGGGCTGTACCCTGTGGAAGTGCACAGGGTTGCGTGTTGTATTGCTAAGAATTGATCAATCCTAGCTTGCCAGTCTCCCGCATTGAGCCGGGACAGTGCTTCCTTGGCCGTTCGTACAAATCTCTCTACAAGGCCATTCGAAGCCGGATGAAAAGGAGCAGATAATGCGTGTTGTATGCCTAACTCGGCCAGATAGCCTTCGAATTGGGTTGCTGTGAATTGGGGCCCATTATCCGAGACCAGGGTGTCTGGCAATCCATGAGTTGCGAAAAGTTTTTTGAGGACTTTAATTACGGCCTCAGAAGTGATCGAGGGCATCAAAGCAATTTCTAGCCACTTTGAAAAAGCATCTACAATTATAAGAAAATTCTGGCCATGGAAGGGGCCTGCAAAATCGATATGGATCCTCCCCCATGGTCCCTTTGGCTTTTCCCACTCTCTAACGGGAGCTACAGGGGGATCCAGGGGGGACTCTTGGCAGGGCCTGCATTTCCCCACCCACTCAGTGACGTCTTGGTCGAGATGTGGCCACCACACATAGCTCCGAGCTAGACTTTTCATTCTAACGATACCGGGGTGCCCTTCGTGTAGCAACTCAAGCACCCTATGCCTTAAACAAGAGGGAATAACCACCCTGTTGCCCCACAGCAAACAGCCCCCCAACATTGACAGTTCATTCTTTTTGTTGAAAAACAATTGAAAATCCCCACTGTCCACCTTAGTAGGCCAACCCCGCATTACCCAGCCCATCACAGTGCGTAAAACAGAGTCCTTGGCAGAAACCCTTGCCACTTCGCCAGAAGAAAGGGGCCCCAGGGACACAACATCAATCAGTAAGACAGGGGCTTCCGGAGTCGGGTTCTCCAATAGGTCGGGCAAGGGGCATCGGCTGAGGGCGTCAGCATGGCCCAGAGTTCAGCCCGGTCGGTGGAGTAGTCTGTACGAGTAAGCAGCTAAGAAAATAGACCATCTCTCTGTAGGTATTTCCTCATTTTTCCACTGTGCAAATACAATTCTTGCTGCTGTCAAGACATATAATATTAAGTATAAGTTCCCTTTATCATACTTTTAGGTATTATTCCTAGCAAAATATTTCTGACTTAAAATCTATGTGCTGTTTTAACATTTTCTCTAACCATGTATGTACTTTTTTCCAATATTTCTTTGCTTTTACACATGTCCACCACACAGGATGATACATCCCCAGTGTCTGGTTACATTTCCAACATCTGGCAGACATGCTTTTAAACATCTTTGTTAATCTTGCCTGTGGTAAATGCCACCTATAAAACATTTTATATAAATTTTCCTTAAAATGCAGTTGCCATTGTCAGTTTACAATTTTTCCCCCAAAGTTTTTGCCATTTGTCTAAATCTATAGTATATCCAAAGTTTTTTGCCTATACTATCACTGTCTTTTACCTGCTCATCTTCCATTTTTAAGCTTAACAAGAAATTGTATAGTTTCTTTATCAACTTTTCATCTACTCCTAACATTATTTGGTCAAATGTCATAGGCTCTTTATAGAAACCATAGTCCTTAATATCTTTCTCATATCTCAATTTCATTTGCATATGCAGCCAAGGTGTGATAAGTCCACACCTTGATTGCACAACTCTTGTTTGGTTTTAAATTCCCCTTCCACATTTAAAATATCTTTATATGTTACATTTTTTTCCAGATTTACTACATTTGGATGTATAAAAGCTTCCATTGTTGAGAGCCAGACTGGAATTTTAATGTAAATTTTTTGCTTTCACCTTTTCCCATACTGAAAGTAGAGCATTTCTTACATTGTGTCTTTGAAAATGTCTATGAGTTTTGTTTTTATTATACCATAAAAAAGCATGGCATCCTAATTGGAGATCATGGCCTTCTAGAAGTAGTAATCTGTTATGTGTAAGAGTTATCCATTCCCTCACCCATGTTAATACAACTGCATGGTGGTAGAGCTCCCAATCTGGTAGTCCAAAGAGCCCATCATCCAGTATGGTTAGCTGACTTCCTCAGTTTTGATTTTTCAAATCTAGCGACAGCCAATGACGATCTTGGAGGCAACTGGAGCTGATATAAAGTGATTGTTTGGTGTGAGTGACGGAAACATTTGAGTGCTGTGGCATTTTGTCAATTGTTTTAATTGTTTGCTGTTTAATTGTGCACGTGCCCAGGATAAAAGAACTAGGTGGACCGATGACTTAATCCTTGGTAAGAGTAATGCTTTTGAATATTGCATAAACCTGTATATCACCCTTCAGCACCTCATGTTTTATGGCCGATAGTTGCTCAGATATCAAGCTAACAGTCTATTTTGTGAGCGGACTTTGTTTTGCCGTAAAGTCTGTTGAGTTTTCCCATGGCTTTTATCTTTAAATTTGTTTTCAATTCACCTGAGACTAGTCGAAGGATTAAATAGTTGCAATGGTGACACACAATAGTAACAGTAACAGAGTTGGAAGGTACCTTGGAGGTCATCTAGTCCAACCCCCTGCTCACACAGGAGACCTATACTGGGATTCAAACCTCTGAACTGCCAACCTTTCTGATCGACAAGCTCAGCGTCTTAGCCACTGAGCCACCTAGCAAGTCCATAAAAGAATTTCAACTCTCATTTAGTTCTTCCCAGGCTGATAAGGAGAGCTCTGACTACTGTTCTTTTTCTAACTCTGAAGTTCTAATTCTAGTGCATCACATTCTCTGGAAATAATAGTTTGTTTCGTTTACAGATCATTTTTGTGCAAAGCGTTATATCTTTGGTTGTTTAGCTGACTTGCCCTTTCTTCCCAATGTCAATGAAATCGTATCCACTAAGTACCAATATAGTCAGACTTTCCTTGTTTATTTTGGACTTTTTCCTTTTCTGGTGTACTTCCCCAAAAAATTCAGCTATAACTATTTACTATATTTGTTTGGGACCTCTTCTTGATAAATAAAATTGATGTTCAGAGATGCAGATTGCTTAGTAAGTTTTTAGCCTTACAATTATTTTCTGGTAATGTAGAAAAATTGGATGGGTGCCGAAACTGGTACATTAGTACCCATATGTGTCATGGCAGACTATAGTTCAATTTTTTTTTTTAATTTGATTTATATGCCGCCTTTCTACGGGGACTCAGGGCGTCTTACAATCCATTAAGCAATAGCCTTCATACTTTTGTATATTTATACAAAGTCAGCTTATTGCCCCCACAAACTGGGTCCTCAATTTACCTACCTTAGAAAGGATGGAAGGCTGAGTCAACCTTGAGCCTGGTGAGATTTGAACTTACAGTAATTGCAGACAGCTGGTGTTAATCACAATGCTTTTAGTCTGCTGAGCTAATTTTCCAGTAATTTCGGTCAAATTAAGATTCCTTCAGAGAGAAAAGATAGGAAATAACTTGACTTTCGTTGCATAGAAGGCAAGGATTTGATTCCCAATAAATGACCAAGGACCTTTAATTTATATAGAGATACATGAGTAGTTAAGATGTGATAGTTAATATAATTTGTAAACGTCACAGAATCCGTGGTAAGATAATAGGCAAAACTGTGCAGGTTGATAACAGAACAGCCCCTATTAATCAATGAGAGAGAATCCCAAAAGTGCTTTTTTCAAACGGCAACTGGACTTTCTGGTTTTTCTTTGATGATGTTTTGCTTCTCATCCAAGAAGCTCTGTTGAAGAAGCTTCTTGGATGAGAAGCAAAACATCATCAAAGAAACACCAGAAAGTCCAGTTGCCATTTGAAAAAAGCACTTTTGGGACAACCATGACCTCAATGACTGAGAATCTCCATAGACATTGAGAGAGATATTATAGTAATGTGATGTGTTGCTATTATAATTAACAGACTACTAATAAATCTTTTTATTTCTATATAGTTTTTAAAAGGTTTCACAGAAAAATAATGATATAGAGTTTACTTTTCATTTTAGTATGCACTTTATTTGATGATAATGGTTTAAAGAATCATATGTGGAAAGAGGCTAAAAGGAAAATCTGTTCCAAGAAAGGGTGGAAAAAAAACCCAAATATGATTGGAAAAAAGATCACTATTAGTAAGTTTGATGACAGCTCATGAATATGATGTTATCATTGGAGGCTTTGTTGATGGTGGTGGTGGTGGTAACAGCAATGATAATGATGATGATGATGACGATGATATGAACAGCATTAAGATGTAATAGAGATGATGGAAAAAGTGGGATTCCTCAACTGACCTCAAGTAGAACATGGGTGCAATGGCATTCATGCTAACGGCCCACAGTTTTAGAGCTATTAAGTGTTTTGTAGTAGATGTGAAGCTGTCCCAAATGCACAATCCAACCATACTTATAGATGTATTCACACTCACCACCTCCCATTTTTAATTGGCCTATTTCTAAGGAAACTGTATCTATATATTTAGCACAGGCTTCCTTCCAGGAAATGGGAACTCTGTTTAACTAGGATTTCCCTTCATACAAAGAAAGAATATATGGGTTATTCCTTAAGATGCCCAAAGCCCAATGAATATATCTCTAAAATCAGGTGAATGTATTTGCACCCAAGACTAAATATACCTAGTCTCTTGCCTTTCTATTATACCACCTAAAGGGACAGATTCAGAAGTGGAGTTGGCATAGGCTGAGACACACATGCCACCATTACACTGGGTTCATTCAGTGATTTTTGTTGAACTAAAGCTCAGCCAGTCACTCCCAACCTCTTCATAGGACTATAGTTCTTCCCATATACTCTAACACCTAAACAATGCTCATATCTTGATTCAACTTGTATTCTTGGTTTTATATGTCATATTCTATATTCCTGGTTCAACTTCCCAATTCACGAATCCGGGTCTTCTGGAGATTTCTCTGCTAATAGAAAAAAAGCAAGAGAAAAGGGTAAGAAACTAACTTAAAAAGAAAACATCAGAGGACCAAATAATACTTCATATAACAAACTAGCTTAGTTCACTGACCAAATTGTGGCTTTAATTGAAATACACAGCTAACAGAGCCTTGGTGGCGCAGCAGACTAAAGTGCTGTTAACTAGCACCAGCTGCCTGCAATTACTGCACGTTCAAATCTCACCAGGCTCAAGGTTGACTCAGCCTTCCATCCTTTCGAGGTAGGTAAAATGAGGACCCGGGTTGTGGGGGCAATAAGCTGACTTTGTATAAAAAAAGAACACCGCTTAGGGGGGGCCGAAAGCCCTACTAAGCAGGTATATACAAAAGTATGAAGGCTATTGCTTAACGCATTGTAAGCTGCCCTGAGTCTCCAGAGAAGGGCGGCATATAAATCGAACCAATAAATAAATAAATAAATAAATAAATAAATAAACAGGATTGGTTAACCTTTATATCAGAGGTGGGTTTCAGCAGGTTCTGACCAGTTCTGGAGAACCAGTAGTGGAAATTTTGAGTAGTTCAGAGAACCGGTAGTAAAAAGTCTGACTGGCCCCGCCCCCATCTATTCTCTGCCTCCCGAGTCCCAGCTGATTGGGAGGAAATGGGGATTTTGCAGTATCCTTCCCCTGGAGTGGGGAGGGAATGGAGATTTTATAGTATCCTTCCCCTGCCACGCCCACCAAGCCATGCCACACCCACCATGCCACACCCACAGAACCGGTAGTAAAAAAAATTGAAACCCACCACTGCTTTATATTATTGTCAGCTGCTCCCAGGTGCTTTTTGACTCATAGCATTGTCTCTTATATGAAGTAAAAAGGTAAAAAAAAAATATGGATAAGGTAAGTAGCCATCCATGTACCAGGTTTAGTGCTCATCCATATTCATGAAGCAAGAAGAGAGAAAATAAGATACATTGCTATTTTACTTCCTAACGATTGCTTCCTAATGATTACTACTTGCAATCATTCCTTTAGAGACTACTCAAAGTTACAACAGCACTTTAAAAAAAAATAGCAGGTTCTCACACTTACTACCATTGCACCAGCCCCACAATCGTGAGATCACTTGGCAACTGGCACGTATTTATGACAGTTGTAGCATCCCTAGGTCACATGATCAACATCTGCAACCATCCAGGGGTGGGTTCTAAAATTTTTTACTACCATTTCCGTGGGCGTGGCTTATTTTGTGGGTGTGGCTTGATGGTCATGTGACAATTCTTTAGGATTTAGCAGAGGTACTGGTCTACCAGGCTTTTAACTGCTTGCAGAGTTGTACTGTCTATCCATTTATTTTTGCAGGCACCGGTCTACTCATTTGTTTTTGGAGGCACCGGTCTACCACCACACTGCCTTTTAACACTGATCAGCTGTAGGGCGGCCCTTTGAAGTCCGGCACAAGAGTTTAAACAGCTTTTTTCCTTCTAGCAGACCAGCTAGGACTCAGGAGGCAGCAATAGATTGGAGGTGGAGCCAAATAATAGGTAAGAATAATGTGGGGGGGGGCAGAACCAGTTCAGTGATGTCATATCATCACCACTACCGGCTTGGGGGAACCGGACTGAACCGGGAAGAACCGACCACTGCAACCGTCCCAGCTGGCTTCTGACAAGCGAAGTCAATGAAGGAAGCTGGATTCACTTAAAAACCACACAAGTCACTTAAGAACTGCAGTGATTCTCTTAACAACTGTGGCAAAAAGGCAATAAAACCGGAAACAATTCAATTAACAACCACCTTGCTTAGATCCCAAAATTCTGATCCAATTGTGGTCGTAAGTCATGGACCGTCTTTATCCTCCTACTTCACTTCTTTAGGAGCTCAAGAGCATATCTCTTCATTTCATCCTCATTAACAATGATCTTGTGAAATAGGTGGAACTGGGCTCTCCGTGAGCATGTGGGACTTGGACATGGTCTTCCCTGGCCTCAGATAGACACTTATCCGGCAGTTTATCTTGCCCATAATATACTATTCTAGCCATTTTTCCTACAGTATCCTCACAAACTCAGATGTTCCTCCTCCTGCTCATTGCCATGCTGCTCTACAGTGAGAGGATTTATTCCCCCAAACTCACACGATGGTATGTCGTTCACAGGAAGCGTAGCCAGGAAGTCGCAGAGTGGGGCAGGTGACAGGCGTTTGATCTGAGGTGCTCCTGTGCTGATGTGAAAGAAATTCTGCTCTGTGGCGTCGTACAGTGGCCATTGTACCTCATCTGGCTTTGATCCTGTTGGAGTTCTACAAAGGCAATTGAGAAATTATGGTAGGAGTAGAAAGAATCTCTTGCCTGTTTACAAGAATTACTGGCATTGGAGTCCATTGATATCAAATAATTATTTCCAAATCTTAAGGCCTTCCTTCCTTCCTTCCTTCCTTCCTTCCTTCCTCCCTCCCTCCCTCCCTCCCTTCCTCCCTCCCTCTCTTTCTTTCTTTTTTTCTTTCTTTCTTTCTCAGTACAAGATGGTGCTCACAAAATGGGTACTTTTATTCCAAAGAATCATCAAATATGAGCATCATAGTTGCCTTGTTCTCCACAACATGTACTCTCAGTTTTCCTTATCATTCCTCCAAACATTAGTATAAGGAATTGCTACCTTTGCCCATGACAGGCCATTAGAAAAGAAACAGGCCAAGGTCTGAGGACAATTCCCAACCGAGATGGTTATATAATATAATGCTCACTGCTTGATTAGGAAATGGACCTGATGATCAAGCAGTGAGCATTGTGTCCCATTGCTGAAGTCCCATGTTCTTCTGGCTGGTTACTCAGAACCACAGCAAAGTTGCTACCATATAATTGATGCAATAGTTATGGGAAATAAATAGTTACAAGACTCAGCTGCTGGGTGCTGTTTGGAATACTACGGGGGTGGGGTAGGTGTGGGATTAATGGCACTCCATATCAGCAACAGACAACTACTGAGAAAACCTTTCCCTAATCATATGTTGGGGGCAATATGCTGACACTGTAAACCGCTTAGCGAGGGCTATAAAGCACTGTGAAGCGGTATATAAGTCTAAGTGCTATTGCTATTCCTACTGAATTATTCTCTGCAATTGCACAGTTCATGCTATCTGGAAAATAGGAAATTGGCGAGAGATGAACCCCCAGGTTCGTTCAGGTTAATCAATTCCATGACTGCCCCAAACCAGGAGTCTCATTCTCGAAAAGGACAAGCAAAGATTGTGTTTTATGGGCTGGAGAGGTCAGTTCAGGGGTAAAATGCTACTGGTTTGGACAGGTTCAGCCGAACCGGTAGCGGCGGTAGCGCGAGGCTCTGCCCACCCACCTGGACGTTGTTACTTCCTGGTTTAACCAGGAAGTAACCTGTTTTTGACTCGCTGCATATGCACAGAAGCTTTGTGCATGCACAGAGGGTCCAAGCGCGCACGTGATCCGGTAGGGAAGGTAAGTTGATTTCACCCCTGGGTCAGTTCCTTACCCGCCTCTGGCAAACTGTGCCCAGTATCTCATCATCTGACGGCTCAATGCTTCCTCAGCCTCCGTGATGGATCGGTTTGTTGCTGACGCCATGGTTCCAAAGACATAAGGTATTTCTGCTCCATGGGGCGTCCCTACCCACTCAGGCCATCCAGAGCCAGAAGGGTGGTGACTGAAGGAGTAAACATGCACCGGCTTCCTAGCTTTCCTGATCTTCGCAGCAAGTTCAATCAAGGGACACACCATGAAATAATCTCGCATATACTGAGAAAACGCCAAACGGTATTGCTCATGATTAGCTTCACTGAATTTCTGGGCGACGGTGCGCGCAACTTCTTTTGTGGTCCCTCTTCGCAGAGTTATTGTCACACCTTGGAGAAGCTGCTCCCATGTTAACATTCCTCCGTTTGTTTTTGTGCTCGGATACATAAGCAATACAAAAGCAGAGCCTTCATCATCAGTGACCCCAGTAAGAATTGGCTTTCCCTGAAGAATTGCTGTGTCCAGCAGATTTGGGACTTTGCCTGGGAGGAAATGGCCATCTGTGGTCAACGAGTTGATCAGGATCAGATGAGTAAAGTTCTCATGTGTAAAGTCTATCTCCTGTAGGCAGCTCACCACAGCTCTGTCGTTATCTTTTGCGCACCCCACTTGTTTGCTGAGCATTATCGCATCTGTGCGGGCCTCTTGGGGGCTCTTCCAGGGCCAAATGGCATTGGGAACGCCACTCTGAAGCACCGCACGGGCAAAAAGGGGCTGGCTCAGAGGGGAAAGGAGATGGCAAGTCACCAAAACTGCTCCTGCACTTTGCCCAACCAGAGTCAACTGAGCTGGATCGCCTCCAAAAAGAGCTATGTTCTCCTTCAGCCACTTTAGGGCCAAATGCTGGTCCCACAAGCCCACGTTTCCTGGGGCGTAGGGCGGCAAGTACAAAAAGCCTAGACCACCCAAGCGATAATTCATGGAAACCACTATGACCTTCTCTGTAGCAGACAACATGGCTCCGTTATAGATATCTAGTGAACCTGTGCCAGTGATGAAGCCCATGCCTGGGATCCATACAAGGACAGGCACTGGTCTTGAGGGTCGAGGATGGGGTGCCCAGATGTTAAGAAAGAGACAGTCCTCTGAAAGAGGTGTGTTGGCGACCCATATGTCTTTATCAGGAAGGCCAGAAATATTGGTCTGGGGACAAGAGTTGCCAAAACTGGTGGCCTCCAATACTTCACTCCATGGCTGACGTGGGACGGGCTTTTGAAAACGGAGTTTATTCACTGGAGGCTCCGCGTAGGGGATTCCCAGATAGGCAGTCACGGAACCAGATCTAGTCAAGACTATTTTGCCTTTAATAGGGCCACTGCTGGTCACTACTGGAGTGTCATTGTTGGAAGCACATTTGCAAACCAATGAGAGGAAGAAGAAAAAGCTCAAACGTGACCAGAGAAAACAAAGCATAGTAGCTATATCTGAAAGAATCAGAAACACAAAATGGTTGACTGGATATAATTCCTCCTTGTGTAAGGCAACCTAATTTGAGTATATGAATGCATAAAATCCATTTAAATATATATTTTGGAAAGCTTAAATTGGTTTTGACGCAGCTCGCTCAACCCAAGCCAGGCTGAGCAGCTGTGAGTTTTTGGACCTGCTGGTTCAAGATACCTTCTATCTTTGGTTCTAGATGGGTGGTTTTGACTCAGAAAGACCAAGTACACAATCTGGGGGCCATGTTGGGCAGATAAGAGCAGATGGTAGCCATTGCTAGAAGGGCCTTTGCGCCACTTGGGGCTGTGTGTCAAGTATACCCATTCCTGGATCAACTCACAGTCACTCATACCCTTGTGATTTCCAGATTGGACTACTCTAACATGTTTTAATATGGGGCTGCTCTTGCTGCAGGCAATTATTGGTGCCAATTACTTAAGACTGGGTTACTTATGAGACGATCTCTCCCCAGTGGTTTCCCTGGCCTATCTGATCTAGCAGGAAACGCATGATTGGACTACTGTTAACTAGGGTTAGGACAAGGCATGCAGGAGGAAGTAAAACCACAGGCTTGCAAATATTGCCAAACTATTACTAAAGTAGAACATAAGAATTTCCGGAATGACAGTTATATTATGAAAATTTGTGGTTAACCTATGCACACCTTCAGCTATATGTGTGTACAAAGAGAGATGGGTGGCAAACAAATTTAATTGATTAATAAATAAAATAAAAAATAAGTGCTATAGGAGTCTTAGCCATAAAACAGAAAGGTGACATCTTGGTTGTGGCTTTTGTGGTTTGGGGGTATAAAAGACTTGGCTGTAAACAATGAGGTTACATGGGTTTTTAAGGAAACCTCCCCATGTTAACAGCCGTGGTGGTGCAGTGGTTAGAATGCAATATTTCAGCCTAACTTTGCCAACAAGCAAGAGTTCGAACCTGACCGTCTCGAGTTTGACTCAGCCTTCCATCCTTTTCTGTGATCAGTAAAATGACCCAGATTGTTAGTGGGGGGGGGGGGCAATATGCCAATATTGTAAACCGCCCAGAGTGCTGTAAAGCACAATGGAGCAGTATATAAGTCTAAGTGCTATTGCTACTGTATGTCCTCCTCCTGCGCAGAATAAAATTGTGTTGTGGGGTGCTTGGTGTTCTCTAAGCTTGGTGGTTTTCTTGCAGATGTTTCATTACGAAAGTTGTGTTGCTTCAATCTCCACCTTGGTGTGTTCAATTAGGCTTCAACTAATTGGTCAAGGACCCAGCCTTGGTCAAGAACCACACTGGCACCCACTCATTTAATACCTTCCCCCAGAGATCAGATGGACCCCATTGCCTTTTGTGATACCTTGAAAACAATACACTCAAGCTTGGGATCGTGGGCATCTTCTGGTTGTATGGATGGTAGATTAGATGATGCCCACCTGCAAAGTGTTTTTATTTTGGGTTTCCATGGTGTATTTTGTGTTTTTATGTATCTGATTGTAAGCTACCTAGAGTCACATAAAGTGAGATGAGGGGCTATATAAATTGAGAAAATCAATCAATCAATAAAATTCTGAGATATTGTGTGCTTTCAACCAGAGGGAGAGAAAGAGGGAGGAAGAAATTTTTGGCTCAGGTTCAAAAAAACTCAAAGATCAGGAAGAGAGTTGGGGAATGAAGAAAATAAAAGGTTCTTTGACAATGGCAGGGTAAAGATTAGCTTATCAAGGACACAAGAAAGTCAATTTTCCACTTGACATTTTCAACCTGCCAACATTCAATCAAGTCAATTTGTCTCAGTGGCAGATATAAACTCTTGCAAATAAAGCGATGATGATAGTGATGGTATCCATTCAATTGTGTCCAACTCTTGGCAAATAAAGAATGGTTACTTAATGATCTGGGTTCTTCCTCTTATTAATTCCTTCTTCCGCCTTTTCTCAATCTATCCTATTCTGTAGCATTTCAAAACCCTGGGCCTGGTGGCTCAGCAGACTGATAGCATTGTGATTAACACCAGCTGTCTGCAATTACTGTAAGTTCGAATCTCACCAGGCTCAAGGTTGACTCAGCCTTCCATCCTTTCTAAGGTGGGTAAATTGAGGACCCAGTTTGTGGGGGCAATAAGCTGACTTTGTATAAATATACAAAAGTATGAAGGCTATTGCTTAACGCATTGTAAGCCGCCCTGAGTCCCCGGAGAAAGGCGGCATATAAATCAATTTTTTTTAAAAAACCCATTCCTTGGTTGCGTCAAGGATAAATGTCTGTCTCGATAAAATTATGCTGCCCAGGGTCACCTTGTAGGGGTGATGGGTGGCATAAACATTTAATAAATACAATAAATAAAAGGAGATTCCATTTGTGATTAAGGATCCCCGGACTGTTTCTAACACTTGGTGTCTTGTTATCTTTTACCTTTATAGAAATCTTTCCCATTTTATATCTGATTATGGACAAGTTCAAGACCAGATGAAAACTTCTTTCACAGAACTTGCCTAAGGTTTGTTTTCTCTTCTTTTTATCCCTCCTAATCCATCCTGCTGTGTAAACACAATGTAAGCATTGTGTAAGCATATCTGGAAGATCCAGATATTTCAACAATGCCAGGGGAAATTGGTATAAAGGAGATACATGTAGTCCTTGATTTACAGCCAGTGGTGGGATTCAGCCAGTTCGCACCACTTCGGGAGAACCGGTTGTTAACTTTCTGAGCAGTTTGGCAAACTGATTGTTGGAAGAAATCATTAGGGCAAAGAACCGGTTGTTAAATTACTTGAATCCCACCACTGCTTACAGCCATTTGTTTAGTGATCTTTTGCAGTTACAAGGGCACTGAAAACAGTGGCCTATGACTGTTTTTCACACTTACAACCGTTGCAGCATCTCTATGGTCACATAATCAGAATTCGCCCACTTGGCCACTGGCATGTACTTATGATGGTGGCAGTGTCCCAGGGTCATCTGATCACCTTTTGTGACTGTCTGGCAAACAAAGTCAATAGGGACACCAGATTGACTTAACAGCCAGGTTACTAAGTTAACAACTGTAGTGATCCACTTAACAACTGTGGCAGAAAGGTCACAAAATGGAACAGAACTCTCTGAACAACTGCCTTGCTTAGCAATGGAAATTTTGGGCCCCATTGTGGTCATAAGCTGAGGACTACCTGCATTCTGCTGGCTCTTCGTGTACTAATATTGCCCATTAATTTGCACCCATACGCTCAAAGAGATTGTGTGCCTTTCTGTTCTTCACCATCCAAATAAGGAAATGTTCCCGGTAAGTGGTCTTTTTACCAGGTCTTCTTCTTTTTTTTTTAAGAAAAAGGGATAAGTAATTAAGCACTAAAATTAAGCAGTTTTACTCTCTTTCTGTACCACCTCTCTTCAATGCTAGTGAAACCCTAGTGTATAGAAGATAGTGTCCTCTACACGAGGTAGCAAGATTCATTATATAGCGTAACATTTTAGAGATCATCTGGTTCACCCAAAACAAATAGCCAGATGGTTGCCATTGCTGCCTCCCACCTGGCCAGATCCTTGCTATCTGAGGAGATAGCCTATTTAATGACAAGGTAGGCCAAACACAAATCTAGAATAACACCTCTTTTCTTTCTCTGCTTTTATTTCCCAACTGCTTTCCTAACTTCAACTCCAACCTGTGAGTAATTAGAACATACTCATTCTTGTCGTATCATACCTGCCTTCTCATCGGCACTAGCTGGGACTGGATATTAGCTGATGGTCTGTCCGTCCAGGAAAATAAGATTGTCCTTGATCTTGCTTCTTGGTGCTCTCCTGCCAGGGTGTGTGTTAGGGAAAGAACCTGCTCCCTTCTCTTCTCTTCTTTATCTTCTGCTTGCTCTCCTCCCCTTCAAGCTGTGTGTGTGTGAGAGAGAGAGACAGAGAGAATGTGTGTGTGTGTGTGGCAAGCCTCTCCCCTAACAAGCCAAGCTACTGATTTCCAAAGTTAGTAAATCACCAAGACCAGATACAGGGTGAAATGCAGCCCAGTACAAAAAGATCAGAACACACAATCTCCACAGATATACTGTACAAGTGGATGTGTTCTTGGAGCTACGTCAGCTCCAAAGAGGGGGGACAGGTAGTCCTCGATTTGGTGTCCACAATGGAACCCAAAATTTATGTTGCTAAATGAGAAAGTTGTTAAGTGAGCATTGCCCCCCTTCTACAATCTTTCTTAAGAATAGAATAGAATAGAATAGAATAGAATAGAATAGAATAGAATAGAATAGAATAGAATAGAATAGAATAGAATAGAATAGAATAGAATAGAATAGAATAGAATAGAATTCTTTATTGGCCAAGTGTGATTGGACACACAAGGAATTTGTCTTTGGTTTATATGCTCTCAGTGTACATAAGGAGAATAAAATACATTCAACAAGAATGAAAAGATACAACACTTAGTGATAGTCAAGGTTATTAATAAGCTATTAAATCGTACTAGGAAACAAATAAAAACAATATAAATCGAAAGATACAAGCAACATGGTTATAGTAATAAGTGGGAAGAGATAGAAACTAGTAAGGAAGAGAAGAATAATAGTAATACAGTCTTACTGAATTATTTGACAGTGTTGTGGGAATTAGTTGTTAAACAGAGTGATGGCATTCGGGGAGAAACTGTCCTTGTGTCTAGTTGTTTTGGTGTGCAGTGCCCTATAGTGTCATTTTGAGGGTAGAAGTTGAAACAATTTATCTCCAGGATGTGAGGGGTCTGTAGATATTTTCACAGCCCTCTTTTTGATTCGTGCAGTACAGTATACAGATCCTCAATGGAAGGCAGGTTGGTAGCAACTGTTTTTTCTGCAGTTCTAATTATCCGCTGAAGTTTGTGTCTGTCTTGTTTATCTGGTTTGATTGCAGAACCAAACCAGACAGTTATGGAGGTGCAGATGACAGACTCAATAATTCCTCTGTAGAACTGGATCAGCAGCTCTTTGGGCAGTTTGAGCTTTCTGAGTTGGCACAGAAAGAACACTCTTTGTTGAGCTTTTTTGATGACGTTTTTGTTGTTGGTGTCCATTTTAAGTCTTGAGATATGATGGAACCTAGAAACCTGAAGGACTCTACTGCTGATACTGTGTTGTCTAGTATTGTAGGAGGTGATAGTATATAGGAGGTTTTCTTCTAAAATCCACCACAATTTCCATGGTTTTGAGTGTATTTAGTTCAGGATTGTTCTGGTTGCACCACAAGGCTAGTTGTTCAACTTCCTGTCTGTATGCAGATTCATCTTTGTCTTGAATGAGACCAGTCACTGTTGTATCATCTGCAAACTTCAGTATTTTAACAGAGGGATCTTTTGAGATGCCGTCATTGGTGTATAGAGAGAAGAGTAGTGGAGAGAGCACACAGCTCTGAGGGGGGCAGGCTCCTGTGCTAATTTTGCAGGTATCTGATGTGATTTTGCCTTCACCTGCTGCTTCCTGTCTGTTAGGAAGCTTATCCATTTACAAGTGTGGTCAGGTACAACTAGCTGATTTAGTTTAGTTAGAAGAATATCTGGAATGATGGTATTGAATCCTGAGCTGAAGTCTACAAAGAGGACGAGGGGTAGGTTCTACTTACCTTTACCACCGGTTTGCAATGGGGCCGCGCACACACACGCTCTTCTGTGCATGCGCAGAAGCATTTTCATGACGTTAAGGTTAGTGGGCGGAGACTCCCGCCGGTTTTACTACCGGTTCTATAGAACTGGTGCAAACCGGGAGCAACCCACCACTGAAGAGGACCCTTGCATAGGTCTTTGGAGATTCAAGACGTTGTAGGATGTGATGCAGAGTCATATTAACATCATCATCTGTCAATCTATTTGCTTGGTAGGCAAATTGCAAGGGGTCTAACAGAGGATCCATGATTGTTCTCAGGTGACCGAGCCAGGGTTGAATTGCTACCAGTTTGCTCCGGTTCGGGCGAACCGGTAGTGATAAAAACTACCGGTTTGGGCGAACCAGTAGTAAAAAAAAGCTACTGGTTCAGTCAAACTGGTAGTTTAAAAAGCTACCGGTTCGGGCAAACTGGTAGTCAGCTACCGGTTCAGTCGAACCGGTAGTTTAAAAAACCTACCAGTTCCTCCTAACCGGTATTTCCGACAATCAGCTGTGCCACGCGGTTTAGTTTTGCTAGAAAGCAGGAAATCCTGCTTTCTAGCAAAGTAAATTACGCGGCACAGCTGATCCCGCCTCGCTGTTCTACTTACCTTCCCAAGCCTCATTTTGGCACGCAGTACGCACGCATAGCCAGTGAACCAGTAGCAAACTGGTTCAGATTTCACCACTGGGCCGAGCACTAGTCTTTCAAAGGTCTTCATAACTACAGACGTTAGAGCAACTGGTTTGAAGTCATTCAGTTCCTTGATGGAGGGTCTCTTCGGCACTGGGATGATAGTAGAGCATTTGAAGCAAGAAGGAACATAGCACATCTCTAGTGATTTATTAAAGATGCGGGTGAAGATGGGGGCTAGTTGGTCAGCACAAGTTTTTAAGCAAGAAGAAGTTATCTTGTCTGGACCTGGTGTTTTTCCTGGTTTTTGTCTGTGAAATAGGCTTTGCACCTCATTCTCTAATCATCAGAGGTGGTGGGCCCAATGGGATAGGTTGTAGGAGGCTTAGCTGTTGTTGGTGTGTTTAAGATGGGGATTATGGAGATGGGTGGTAGTAGTTTTCTCTCATACCTGCAGTAAAATACATTCAGGTCATCTGTCAGTTGATTTCCTTCAGCTTGGGAAGGTTTGCCATAACCGGTGATATTTTAAAGAGTTTTCCACATGTTTGCTGGTTCATTTGTTTGATTCCTTAGTTTTTCAAAGTAGCTTCTTTTTGCTGCTCTGATCTCCCTTGTTAATATGTTTCTGGCCTGATTGTACAGCATTTTATCGCCTTTTCTGTAGGCTTCCTCTTTGGAATGACGTAGCTGCTTAAGTTTAGCTGTGAACCAAGGTTTATTGTTACTGTATATTCACAAGTTCCTGGTAGGCACACATAGGTCTTCACAAAAACTGACATATGATGTTACAGTATTTGTGAGTTCCTCCAAGTCTGCAGAGGTATCTTCAAAAACATTCCAATCAGTGCATTCAAGGCAAGCCTGTATTTTTAGCTTTGCCTCCTCAGTCCAAATCCTCACTGATTTAATTCTTGGTTTCATGGTTTTTAGTCTTTGTCTGTAAGCAGGAACAAGGTGAATCATGCAATGATCTGTGTGTCCCACAGCTGCTTGTGGTAAATGTTAGGTCGGGCAAGGAGTTGGCTCTGAAAGATACCTTGTAGATTGTACATAGAGGTTCAGCTATGGATGTAGCAAGTTTTTTTAAGAAGTAGGCACATAATCCATCAGGGCCAATAGATAGAGATGTCTTTAGGTTACATAGTGCCATTTCAACTTTTATCTACTGTAAAATCAATATGTAGTAAATCATTATAATTTGTTGTGGTATGACATGGGAATGTGGGATGTACTTTAGGACAAGGCATGCAGGAGGAAGTAAAACCACAGGCTTGTGAATATTGCTAAACTATTACTAAAGTAGAACATAAGAATTACCGGAATGACAGTTATATTATGAAAATTTGTAGTTAACCTATGCACACCTTCAGCTATATGTGTGTGCACAGAGAGATGGGTGGCAAACAAATTTAACTGATTAATAAATAAAATAAAATAAATAAGTGCTATAGGAGTCATAGCCATAAAACAGAAAGGTGACATCTTGGTTGTGGCTTTTGTGGTTTGGGGGTATAAAAGGCTTGCCTGTAAACAATGAGGTTACATGGGTTTTTAAGGAAACCTCCCCATGTTAACAGCCGTGGTGGTGCAGTGGTTAGAATGCAATATTTCAGCCTAACTTTGCCAACAAGCAAGAGTTCGAACCTGACCGTCTCGAGTTTGACTCAGCCTTCCATCCTTTTCTGTGATCAGTAAAATGACCCAGATTGTTAGTGGGGGGGGGGCAATATGCCAATATTGTAAACCGCCCAGAGAGTGCTGTAAAGCACAATGGAGCAATATATAAGTGCTATTGCTACTGTATGTCCTCCTCCTGCGCAGAATACAGTTGTGTTGTGGGGTGCTTGGTGCTCTCTAAGCTTGGTGGTTTTCTTGCAGATGTTTCATTACGAAAGTTGTGTTGCTTCAATCTCCACCTTGGTGTGTTCAATTGGGCTTCAACTAACTGGTCAAGGACCCTGTCTTGGTCCGGGACCACAATGGCACCCACTCATTTAATTTAATCAGATGGATCCCATTGCCTTTTGTGATACCTTGAAAACATTACGCTCAAGCCTGGGATCGTGGGCACCTTCTGGTTGTATGGATGGTAGATTAGATGTTGACCAGTTGCCAAGCGTCCAAATTTTGATCACATGACCAAGGGGATGCTGCAAAGGTCTTAACTGTGAAAAATGGTTGTAATTCTGGTTTTTCAATGCTGTTGTAACTTTGAATGGTCGCTAAATAAATGATTGTAAGTCAAGGATTACCTGTACATTTTAATCACCCTAGAGGTGATGGTAAGATGTCTATTAGAATTCCAGCCACCAGCAAATTCAAAGACCTGATTCTGATTTTCTTAGCACATAATTGTAATTCTGCACATCTCACTTTTTTTTCCTATAAAGAATGGAATCTTGTCCTACTTTCACAATCAACCTGCTCAAATCAGATTCTGCTCTGTCCAAAAGTTCAAGTCTATTTACTTTCCTTCTGTAAACATTCTCCGATCATTCACCAGTGCGGATTTTGCCTTCAAAACGACGCTATAGAGCACTGCACACCAGAACAACTACACACAAGAACAGTTTTTTCCCTAACACCATCACTCTACTAAACAAATAATTCCCTCAACACTGTCCAACTATTTACTAAGTCTGCACTACTATTAATCTTCTCATTGTTCCTATCACCCTTCTCCTCCCATGTATGACTGTATGACCATAACCTTATTGCTGGTATCCTTAAGATTTATATTGACTGTTTCCTAGTATGATTTGATTGCTACTTGTTCCCTATGACTATCATTAAGTGTTGTACCTTATGATTCTTGACGAATGTATCTTTTCTTTTATGTACTCTGAGAGCATATGCACCAAGACAAATTCCTTGTGTGTCCAATCACACTTGGCCAATAAAGAATTCTATTCTATTCTATTCTAAACATTCTCCGATCATTCACCAGTGTGGATTTTGGCTTCTGTGGAGTTCTATGTTGTCTTTAATTACGTAAAAAAAAATCTTTTTTGTTACATAAAAAATAAATTAGAAATGTGAGTGGTGCAACAGGGTTTATTTTTTGCATTTCCAAGCTAAGTTTTAATGTGTCATGGCTTAGTCATATGAATGAGGATCAAACTGCAAAACAACTATATAAAAGAGAAGTGGCTGATTTGAGAGGAAGACCTTGGTTGGATAGAATTGATGAGATTCTGAAAAAGAGAGTTTAAGAGTAAAAAGCAATGGTTGAAGAAGTGGATCCATAAGGTGGAAGCAAGAATGGTTTGCAAGGACACAAGGAAATAAAGAGAGATTGGGCAGATGTGCATTTTCTGCTTGCACACTCACTACTTTAAAAGGAAGAGAGGAAAGTGCTTCTTGAATGCAGAGACAGATGATGCTGTCCTCCACTATGACCAGCCTACTGCACATATACCCTATGTCCATATTTTCTAGCTGAACTTTAAAAGTTTTGTTTTCCAAGCAAGTCTACCCTCAGAAAATAGAACATCCTCAACTTATGACCAGAATCGGGGCCAGAGATTCCATTGTTAAGCAAAGGGCTTGTTAAGTGTGTCATGTCTTTTATGACCTTTTTTGCAATGGTTGTTAAATGAATCCCTGCACTTGTTAAGTGAATCACATGATCATTAAGTGAAGGGAAATTATTTTTTAAAAAAGTGAAGATGGTGGCTACATAAATACCCAGTAATTGGCTGACCAACCGCACTCAACATGTAGTCCCCAATGGAATTGCATCTACTTGGAGGGAAGTATGCAGTGGAATACCCCAAGGCTCTGTTTTAGGCCCAGTACTCTTCAACATTTCCATCAATGATTTGGATGAGAGGATAGAAACTTATCAAATTTGCAGACAACACCCAAGCTAACAGGAATAGACAACACTCCAGAAGATAGGCTTAAAATACAGAATGATCTTGACAGACTTGAACATTGGGTGCTATCTAACAAAATGAAATTCAATGGTGAAAAAAAGTAAGGTTCCACATTTAGGCAAGAAAAACAAAATGCACAGGTACAGTATATGTGGTGCCTCGCTCAATAGTAGTAACTGTGAGAGGGATCTTGGAGTCCTAGTGGACAATCATTTAAATATGAGCCAGCAGTGTGCTGCAGCTGCCAAAAAAGCCAACACAGTTCTGGGCTGCATAAACAGAGGGATAGAATCAAGATCACGTGAAGTGTTAATGCCATTTTATAATGCCTTCGTAAGGCCACACTTGGGATGCTGCATCCAGTTTTGGTCGCCACGATGTAAAAAAGATGTTGAGCATCTAGAAAGAGTGCAGAGAAGACCAACAAAGATGATTAGGGGACTGGAAGCTAAAACATATATGTCTAGTTTAATGAAAAGAAAGGCTAGGGGTGACATGATAGCTGTGTTCCAATATCCAATATGTGAGGAATGTAGTCTTTTTTTATTTAAAACATCACATGCAGTTTAGGGATTTCCCTATGTAGACAGTAAAGTCTTCTGCCAGTACTGTAAAAAGATTGGGAAATATATCAACCATCTAATAGATATTCTTAAACTTTGTTTTTTAATGTGAATAAATTGCGATAATCTGATTTAGTACTTCATCATCCTTTTGCTTCTTCTCTCACTCAATTGATATATTCATGTTTTTTCTTCTGGCAGTTACTTTATCCAATTGTCTGTTCTCCTCCTTAATTTTGTATGCCATTCTTTCTTTTTGTTAAAAGGCAGATTTTTATTTGTAGGCTTATCCTGCTCATCCATTCCTCCTGCAAATCATTCATGTAGCCATTTCTATCTTTTAAAACATTGTTATGTGTGACTTTTCTGTCCTCTTGTAGGAGCAGAAAATGCTCAGCCTGCTCCTTGGGCTCTTCTAACACTTGTGTCTTTTATTATATTTGACAGTATCATCCATGGAATCCAGATTGAAAGCAAAAAGAATGGAGATGGGTCTTCCCAAAATAACTTTCAAGAGAAACATTGGGAGTTTGGGGTATGGGAAGGTAATGTAGGTGGTTTCAGGAAGTATTTGCTATGAGGAAATCTTTGAAAAACCCAACTCTTAATGCTATGAACTTCTGCTGCTTGGGCAACAAATGGATCTACATTTACAAATCAGGACATGTGGATTCCAGTAACTGCTAGAAACTGAGATCGAAACTGTTTTTTAGCACATGAGGAAACATCTCTAATTAAATGGCCCACATGCTAATTTAGGTATCTTGCCTAAACTGGTTTCTCCATACTGGGATATATTAGATTAAATTGGATTACAATACACAATCTGTCCATTTATTAGATTTAAGGAGTTCAGTCCTATGAAAAAGACATGTGAGTTTGGCAGTCAGAATTCCTGTTTGTTTTATTTTGCTTTTCCTTACAACAGGATTGTTATCCAAACAATTCCGACAGTATTTTATTTTAAAAAGTTATTTATTAAGAGATAACATATTACTCCTAACAGTTTATTATTTTACAGCAAAGATTATGTGAATTTTTAGTTGACTCCTTATTCTTCTTCCAAGTTCCCACCTAAAAGAACAATGGATCCTTCTGGAAGGTTCTCTGGCACATCTTGTCATCATTTCCCTAGGTTTTTAAGAAAAGTCTTGATTGGTTTCTGAGAGAAACAAACGAACACATAAATGCTATTTTGAAGCCAACCTAACTAGATCAAGTCTTCAAATGGTGCCTTTAAGATGTGGAAGCCATTTTCAAAGGGATTCAACCTAAGTGGCAGCCCTTCATGGTAGGCCAGTTCAAGACACAGGCAAAGCAGAGATTCCAGGATGCTCTTCTGTATAGTAAAGTAGAATAACAGGGATTGATTTATTTATATCCTACCTTATTATTTTACTAATAACTCAAAGCAGCAAGCATATTCAATACACCTTTCTCCAATTTTTCCCACAACAGCAACCTTGTGAGGGTGAACTGAGCTGAGAAAAAGTGATTGGCTCAAGGTCACCCTGCTGGCTTTCATGGCTAAGGCAGGATTAGAACTCACAGCCTCCTGATGTCTAGCCTGGCGCCTTTATCTTCATCTTAATAAGTCCATCCAAAGTGGTCTCTGTGTTCCCATCATACGCTAAACAAGGTGAGGTTTGTGGAATCAAAATGCAGGACCCAAAGCAAGTAATCAAGGATTGCTGCAGTGTTTACAGTCAACAGTGCGCACTGGAGAAATTCCCTCCAGAAATTCCCTCAGAAAATAGCGGGAAGAACTTTTGTAGATGCGCTCATATTTATACATTTCAAAATGGAGGGGGATTTATATGTATACGTACATATTGATAAGTAATAATATAACTGATCTCAAGTTATTGCCTGCCCTTCTGTTATCTGAACAGGACAATGGTCTTAGAAGAAATATTTGCATCTTAAGATTCAGGGTTGCCCATCGGAATGGTCTGACAAAATTTATCACAAACCACTATGAGCTACAAGGACACATTCCTTATGCAGGGGTCGGCTTCAAAAGTTTTAGCAAGGGGTTCTCTGCCCGGTTGCTGGGTAGGCGTGGCCATGGTGGGCGTGGCCTAGTCAGCTTCCTGCACCATGGTGTGGGGGGGTGTTTTTTGCCCTCCCTGGGCTCTGGAGGCTTTCTTCGAGCCGCCGGGAGGGCGAAAACAGCACACCCCCAGGCTCTGGAGGCCCTCTGGAGGCCAGAAACGCGCCCGTTTCTGGCTTTCCCAAACTTCCAGTAGGCACTTTTTTGCCTTCCCTGAGCCTCTGCGTGCGTCCTGCACTTATCTGCATCCAAAATGGGCCGTATGGGGACTCCTGGGAGGGGAGGGGCAGGGTGGTCAGGGCCAGCCAGGAGTGGGATTTGGGGGTTCTCCGAACTGCACAGAATCTTAGCTAGAGGTTCTCCCGAACCCCTGCAAACCCCCAGCAGCCCACCCCCGTCCTTATGTCTCCATTTGTCTATTAAACAATTCTCATCTGAAATGCTCATTTGCTGCACAGTTTCCCTCTCCTGCTTCCTCTTCCTCAGCACTGTGTAATCTTTTCTACAAGTTATTCTTAATGGCTCATTCATTTATTCTTTATGTCCAAGGTCTGCATTTGTTTATGCTGAGAGAGATCCTCCAGCTTCCTCTTCCACAAAAGACCATTGGCATCAGCTTGGAGAGCTTCCACTCCACACAGCGAGGCTGAGCCACAAAAGTGCCACTTGTTTGGAAAACCAATGGAAAACCATTATTTAGAAAAAAAAGTCTACCCCCTTTTGAAATGATCGAAATTGATTCTGATTGACAGCTGTTAAGCATTGAATTCTTACCTCCTGTCTTCTGTCTAGTCTGATGAAACAGAATCACCTTCGCACTTATCTGCAGAACAAAAATGAAATATTAAGGTAAGGTGGACGTCTTATCTCTAAAGAATCCGAATCTTGAGGGGTGAAATCCAGCAGGTTTGGACAGGTTCGGGAGAACCGGTAGCGGAAATTTTGAGTAGTTCAGAGAACTGGCAAATACCACCTCTGTCTGGCCCCAGAGTGGGGTGGGAATGGAGATTTTGCAACATCCTTTCCCCAGGAGTGGGGAGGGAATGGGGATTTTGCAATATTCTTCCCCTGGAATGGGGTGGGAATGGAGATTTTGCAATATCCTTCCCCTGCCACGCCCACCAAGCCATACCACACCCACCAAGCCACGCCCAGAGAAACGGTAGTAAAAAAAAATTGGATTTCACCACTGGGCAAATGACATGGGTTTTGTAATTTGTTAATGAAGGGAAACAATGATAAGGATATAATAAATAATACTAGAGTATAATATACTGGTATACTAGAATTAGTAGAAACTTGTTATTCTGTAACCATTAGGTTCCTGTAATACATATATAGCCTTTGTATTTGTATAACACACTATATTGTACCTTTATATCTGTAACACAAATATGCCTTTGTATTTGTATCACATATATTATGCCTATATATTTGTATCTCCTATAACAAACATATTCTGTTATTAGGCCTCTGTAATGTATCTGGTATTTGTCAAACATATGTTCCTGTCATTTGATCTGAACCCATATCAATCTTCTTCCTGTTTTTCTCGTGCCATCGAAGAGCGTGGTACCTATCTCAGTTGGAACTTCAGAAGTCATCCGGGAGATAATTTACACTTCAGCCCTAATTTACACCTTTGATCTGTTCCCTGCAGCCCAGGGGGCCAAATGAGCAATTGGGAGAACAAAGGAATGCTCAAGGAAGAGATAACGCTAATTGGGAGGCTTCTATTCCTTTGCAGGGCAACAAGGAATACACAAACCTAAACTAGGAAGCCAGAATTGGGTACTAAGCTGATGTCTCTGAGAGTATAAAAAGGATGCCATATCTTCGTCAATGGGTGGCTAGCTCCTCACATGCATTGTATCTTTATGTTCTGGATATAGTCCCACCCAGTATTTGTTTTTGGCCATAAATAAAATCTGCTTCTTTTTGCAAGCCTCGTCTTGAGTCCCTCTTTTTGACATTCTGGTGACTCAAATACATTTTGGGACCTTACATTTCCTATTACAGTTACTTTGTATTTTAATCTGATTTATATTCTTTCTTTTAAAGTGATGTTCAGATTTATTAGCTTTTAACATTCCTAAACTGATAAACAAGCTGGAGACTAGCTCCTGATAAGAAAAGTTTATTAGTACAACTTGGGGTCTGTCTTATCTCTTCTGCCAACCCTAAGCAACCTTTCTCCTTACAATTCATGCCCCTTCGGACCTCATTTTAATAAACATGTATGCTATTATCCTGTCCAATCAACTTTCCTCTTTCAGATTTCTTTGTTATGTTAACTATAAAAGGGGGTGTAAGCTAAAGTTTGGGGTTCCCTCTTTGAATGAGAGGAATCCCTTTTATCTGAATATTCTAATAAATATAATGATCTTCCTGTCTCGGTTTGTCTAATTGGGGAATATGCATACCGAGGCACAATCCTGAAAAGGCCATATTTGGCCTTTAATCTAGAAGTTGGATTCTGAGGAATACATGCATTTGCAAAATAATATATATTTATTAAATATATGACAAACCTATTGCTCCGTCACACTGTCAGCCAGATATTTAGAATGGATTTGACATTTTTTGTCCACCTATTCAGTCCTTCCCAAAGAGCTGGGAGAAACAGATATTGTTTGATGGTGTTAAAGGTATTGTTGCAGGATGTAAGCTGTTCCAAGTAAAACTGCCTTTTGCAATTGACTGATGGGGATTTTGTCAATGCCAATGGTGTTCAAGTGGTGATGCAGATGTTCTGGGACTTATTATTATTATTATTATTATTATTATTATTATTATTATTATTATTGCTGTTATCTTTATGTGAGCAACTAGGGCAGTGATGGCTAACCTTTTCCGGACCGAGTGCCCAAAGTGCGCACCCAAACCCCCAAAATGCAAGGCACACGTGGTCTCCAGGCACATGCCCTGCCCCCTGTGAGTGCATACATGCCCCCACACACATGCCCCCACCCCCCACGCATGCATGCGCGGCCCCTCCATACATGCCACGCCCCCCACGCATGCTGTTCTGCCCCAGCTACGGACCCCAAGAACGCAGCACACACAAAGTCCGTTCAAACGTTAGTTTACTAAATAAACCAGTTTTTTACAACAACGGCTGTTAATTAACTGCATTAACAGCCGCCAAGAATTCAAAGAATAATACTGAAAGCTTACTGAAAGAATGCCCAGGAGCAATTTGCAGGAAGCTGATAAGATAAGCAAGACAAGACATGAAGATATGTGAACGAAGATGTTCCCTGCAAATTGCTTCAGTCGGTGTTCCTCCTTAAATAGGCTAAGGGAGTAGCCCAGTAGCCCCAAGCCTTACTCTCGAGGAGACCGCCTCCTGAGGAGCCACTCCTGCCTTTTGGCAGCTCTGCGCACCCGTGCATCGAGAAGAGGCTCCTCCTCTTCGTCCTCTTCACTTAAGGGAGCTTCTGGAGGTTCTGAAGGCCCTGGTTGAATCCCCGCCTCTGGCACCACATCTTCTCCAGCCTCCTCATTGTCTGACTCAAGTGCCAGCTGCACAGGCTGCTGGCGCAGCACCACATCAGCCTCTTCGCTGTCTGAATCAGCTACTAGCTGCACAGGCCGCTGACAGGCCACAACACATGCTCAGTAGAGACCCAAAGACCAGCTGGCTGGTGGGAGACATGGGCGCATGCACGGCGGAGCTGAACTGGGGCGACAGCTCGAGTGCCCACAGAGAGGGCGCTGCATGCCACCTCTGGCATGTGTACCATAGGTTCGCCCTCACAGAACTAGGGCATACAGAGTGATCTCCTGAGACATGACTAGAGACCTAACTCTTGGGTGTCATGAAAGATTCTTGCACTACAAAATGTATCACTAGCATTATAAAATTTCCCAGTACAAAATAAAATTATGTTTTTTCAGCCCCTGCAAAAAAGTGAGCAAAAATAATTTTAAAAGATTTTTAGAGATCGCTCTGTGAGTCAGATGGTTGACCTTTAAATTTGATCTTGCAAAAAATAAATATAAATAAGATTTTTAGAAATATCTTTTTCGTCAGCTACTATTCCCATTCAAAGGCAGGACAAATAGCCAAACTTACGTGGGTCTTCAGACTTTGACAAATGCTTCTTTAGAAAACTGCAGTGGTGGATAGGTTCTTTCTCTGTTTCCCTGGATGACTCACTATTAAGAACGAAGAAATTCTGCTCTGTGGCATTATAGAGTGGCCACTCATCCTTGGTGGCCACCAACCCATCAGGATTCCTATGGAGGAAGAAAAGGATACGGATTTTCCAAAGAGACTTGATCTGAGAAACTACACCCAAGAGAAACTCCCAAAGGGGACTTGAGGAAGGGGTGAGGATAGCCTTTAGTGCCCCCTGCTGGTTGGAGACTTGGCAACAGGGTTCATGCAGGTTTTTAAATATAATAAGGAAGAATCCAAGTCACCAACCGGCAGGAGACTTTAAAGGGCATCCCCACCAGGGGTGAAATCAGGGGTGAAATGCTCCCAGTTCGGACCGGATCGCTCGATCCGGTAGCGATGGCGGCGGGTGGTTCGGAGAACCGGTAGGAAAAATCCCTGCGCACCCCCACCCCCATTCCCAGCTGAGCCGCACGATCATCAGAGGCTTTTTTTTTTTACTGTTAAAAGCATTTTTTCTACAACCTCTTCCCACAAAAAAATGCTTTTAACAGTAAAAAAAAAAGCCTCTGATGATCGCGCGGCTCAGCTGGGATCATCAGAGGCTTTTCAAAGCATTTTTTTCTGCAACCTCTTGGCCGAAGAGGTGGTAAAAAAAATGCTTTGAAAAGTCTCTGATGATCCCAGCTGAGTTGCCTGATCGGCAGAGAGGCTTTTCAAAGCATTAGAAAAAATGCTTTGAAAAGTTTAAAAAAAAAAAAAGTTAATCATGCCCACCCAGTCACATTACCCCCCCCCCCACCAAGCCACACCCACAGAACCGGTAGTAACAAATTTTACATTTCATCCCTGGGTGAAATCCAGCAGGTTCTGGTAGCAGAAATTTTGAGCAGTTCAGAGAATCAGCAGTGGAAATTTTGAGTAGTTCAGAGAACTGGCAAATACCACCTCTGGCTGGCCCCAGAGTGGGGTGGGAATGGAGATTTTGCAATATCTTTCCCCTGGAGTGGGATGGGAATGGAGATTTTGCAGTATCCTTCCCCTGCCACGCCCACCAAACCACACCCACCAAGCTATACCACACTCAGCAAGCCATGCCCACAGAACTGGTAGTAAAAAAAAATTGGATTTCATCACTGATCCCCACCTCCTCCCTCAGTCCAATACCAGCCAGAGGTGGTATTTGCCAGTTCTCTGAACTACTCAAAATTTCCGCAACCGGTTCTCCAGAACCTGTCAGAACCTGCTGGATTTCACCCCTGATCCAAACCCAGGTCAACTCCTCATAAACCTTTGAAATCAACTAGGACAGTTGATTTATAGGTTGACTTACAACCATTCATTTAACATCCATTCAAGCTTACAATGGCACTGAAATAATTGACTTACAACTGGTCCACGCACTTACATCTGTTGTAGCATTCCCATGGTCATGTGATCAAAATTTGGGAGCTTGGCAACTGGCATATACCGTGTTTCTCTGAAAATAAGACCTATCCCAAAAATAAGCTTTAGCTTGATTTTTACATGTATGCCCAATATAAATCCAACCCCCAAAATAAACCCTACTGTATTTTTCGGTGTATAAGACACACCGGAGTATAAGATGCACCTTAATTTTGGGGGAGGAAAACAAGGAAAAAAGTATTTTACCTCTGCCTACCAGCATTTAAGGTGGCGCCGCCCTCCTCCTCCTCCTGCAAGTGAGAGGTGCAGGGACTACTCGCTTTCCCCCAAAGAGACCCCTCGCATGCTCTGTGAGGAGGGACAGAGCACAGCCTGAGGAACAAACCTCTTCAGGACAGTCGGGGGGGGGGAATCTGCCCTGCAGCTTCGGGGAACAAGGCGGGTGCCACGATTTGTGGCTGGTCACCCCTCTGGCCGCACTGACTTCACTCCCCAGCAATGTGAGGAGCCCCCGCCGCCGCTGCCTAAGCCCTCTCTGCGCCCAGGAGCCAAACCGAGCTGAATGGGAGCCCCTAAAGGGAAACGTTCCTCCTTTCCAGCCATTGCTGCCCGGATTCCCCAATGCAATTCTCAAGAGTCGTGCTTCAGGTGGCAGCCAGTTCCCCTGCAATGTGCAGTGGGGAACTGGGAAGTGCTTTGGATTCAGGGAGGAGATTATAGCGCTGCCGCCTGAAAGTGTATTTCTGCACATTGCAGAGCCACGCGCCCCCATACTCCTTCTCAGCAGATTCAACTTCTCTTTCCTCCTGGCCAGATCCACCGCCTGAAACACGGCACACTTTTTTTTGTCTCTGCACACCCCATGTTTGGAATCGGGAAGGGGATCGCGGGTCTGCCATGCTTTCATGGCATTAGTTTGTAGTGCTTGTTCTTGAGCAGCGAGTATTAAACCTTCCATTTCTTTCTTGATGGTTCCCATCTTAAGCCTTGCCCATGTCAAGTTATTATCACATTTTCCTTCAGTGTTTTTCAAGTGCTGTCCATGCAAAACTTTGTTTTTCCATCCATTTAATCTGTCATCTAGCTGTTTTTCCTTATATTCTGCCTTTGTTTCTGTTGTTTTAATAATGTTCTCCATTTTCATGGCCTGCAGCAATTTTTCTGTACTTTGGTTCACATAGTCATTGAAACTTTGCTTTTCTTCTTTGTCTCTTCTTGTCTTGGTGCATATGCTCTCAGTGTACATAAAAGAAAATATATGTTCATCAAGAATCATAAGGTACAACACTTAATGATAGTCATAGAGTACAAATAAGCAATCAGGAAACAATACCAATATAAATCGTAAGGATACAAGCAACAAAATTACAATCATACAGTCATAAGTGGAAGGAGATGAGTGGTGGGAAAGATGAGAAGATTAATAGTAGTGCAGACTTAGTAAATAGTCTGACAGTATTGAGGGAATTATTTGTTTAGCAGAGTGATGGCATTCGGGAAAAAACTGTTCTTATGTCTACTTGTTCTGGTGTGCAGTGCTCTATAGCATCGTTTTGAGGGTAGGAGTTGAAACAGTTTATGTCCAGGATGCAAAGGGTCTGTAAATATTTTCACAGTAAATATTAATGGCTTTAATTATGTTTCCAGCATTCAGTTTTGATTTTAATATTTTGCAGACCCTTCTGATGAATTCCTTTTGCATTGACTCTGACTTTTCCATTCAAGATGTTATCTGCTTCCAATATGCCTAAGTATTTGGAACAGTCATCCTTTGTTAATGCTTTCACAATGCTTCCATTTCCTAGTTCTTTCCTTCTATTTTTTCCATTTTTCCTCGCTGCATGGATAATATGGCACATTTTTCAAGTCCAAAGTTCATTCTGATGTCGCTGCTGAACAATTGAACTGTGTTGAGTATTGATTCAAGTTCAGTGGGGCTCTTTGTATACATTTTTAAATCGTCCATGTATAGCAGATGGTTTATCTTGCCATGCTGGCTTGAGATTTGGTATCCCAGTTTTGTGTTTTGTAGGATTATTGTCAGTGGAATTAATGTGATGTTGAACAGTAGTGGCGGAAGTGAGTCCCCTTGGAAGATTCCTCTTCTGATGTTGACTTCACCAATGTTCTCCCCATTTGCTGTTAGAACTGTTTTCCATTTTTACATGTTTGCTTTCAAAAAATGTACAAATATTTTTGCTGATTCCAAATTATTATTATTATTATTATTATTATTATTATTATTATTATTATTATTATTATTATTATCTGTATTAATTATGTGACCTGTAAACATACACAAAGGAATAGTATGCATTACTTTATGGCAGAGTTACTTTAGATATAAAGTGCATTTGTTGAATGGAAAGGCTTTCTTTGGATTTAAAATAAAAATTATAAATATAAAATATAAATATATATTTATAAATATAAATATAAATTATAAAGTGAACCACTTACCCAGTTCTGGCAAACTCTGCCCAGTAGTGCATCATTTTATGGCTCAGTCTGGCTTCAGCCTCTGTGTACGTTTGATTGACAGGAAACACCGAGTCAAGGGTTCCAAAAATATAAGCAATCTCAGCATCATGATGTGGTCCAGTCCATTGAGGCCAAGATGAGCTTGAAGGGTGATGTGTGAATAAATAGGCATATACAGGACTCCCAGTTTTCCTGATATTTCCTGCAGCTTCAGTCATTGGGCATGCAATGGCCAAATCTGTAAAGAGGTTGGACAGAGCGGAGCGGTATTGGGCTAGGCCTTGATGTCCTTCACTGTATTTCAGTGCAATAGTCTGAACAACATCTTCAGTTGCACTTGGCACCAACATTCTTATCCCTTTCAGAAGCTGCTCCTGATTGATGAGACTTTCCTTGATGTCAGAAAAAAGATCGTGGATAAATGTGCTCCCTTCATCAGAGACTTTTCCTATGAGGACAGGTTTGACTTGAATTTGTCCCTCCTCCATGAGCTTTTCTGGATCACCAAGCAAAAAATCCCCATCTATGGTTGGCCTGAATGGAAAATTCAGAAGGCAGTCATCGTTCAAGAACAGAGAGCCTTGTTGCTGAATAAGTTCAGAAACATTTTTTGTTTGCAGACAATGCCCTATGCTGGTATTATTGTCCTCGGAGCAACCTAGCAAATGAACGAATTTCAGCGATAATCGTTTGGCTTCCTCAGGAGACCTCCAAGCCCAGAAGGCATTGGCTGTTCCACTCTGGATCACCGCTTGGGCAAAAAGGTCCTGGCTTTTTGGTGCGAGAAGATGGAGATTCACAGAAGCTCCTCCAGCACTGTGGCCAAAAATGGTCACCCGAGAAGGATCTCCCCCAAAGGCAGCTGCATTCTCTTTTACCCACTTCAGGGCCAGCTGTTGGTCCCATAAGCCTAGGTTCCCTGGAGCAGCTGGTGGCAAGTACAGAAAGCCCAGGGCTCCCAAGCGATAATTGATGGTGACCACAATTACATTCTCAGTGGCAGCCAAGGATGCCCCATTGAACAAGTTCAGAGAAGACGTGGCACCTGAATACCCACCTGAGTGTATCCAGAAAAAAATAGGTACTGGTGAAGAAGGTTGTGGGTATGGCACCCAGATGTTGAGGGAAAGGCAATCTTCTGACAATGGTGTTTTAGGATTCCACACCATTGCTGCAGTGTCTTCGTAGTAAATAGATTGAGAACAGGAATTGCCAAAGCTGGTGGCTTCCAGTGTTTGCTTCCATGGCTGATGTGGAAGAGGTTTCTGGAAACGCAACTTCCCCAGGGGAGGCTCTGCATAAGGGATGCCTAGATAGGCTGTCACAGATCCAAGGCCAGCCAGGAACTGCTTGCCCTTAATGGGGCCACTGCTGGTTCTGACCACTGTGTCCCCATTAGAAGCAGAACTGGAAGCCAGTGGAAAGAGGAGGAGGAGGTAGCACAAGAGCGACGGGCATAGCAGACAAGGCATTGCAACAGTAGGACGAGTCGGTGGATCTGGAAAAAGTTGCAACCAATATGAGATTATTCCTCTTACTGCATAAACCCACCTAATCCCAATTCATCATTGATTTACTGTGATGAGGACACCAGTGGTGATCCAGGAGTGATCACCATTGAGGTTAGCCACCTTTGCCCTTCTCTATGATGTATCTCCAAGATTACAGAAGAACCGCTTAGAGCTCCTGATTACCGATCCCCTTGCTCAGCGAATGGACAGTTTTGACACAGAATTGCTAGTAGATCTTCTCTAGGGTTACCAATGCAGTTTTGTTATATATTGTTTCAGTGGTGGGTTGTCCCTGGTTCGGACTGGTTCTTTAGAACTGGTAGTAAAACTGGCGGGAGGCTCAGCCCACTGACCCCAATGTTATCAGGAAGCTTCTGCACATGCGCGGCCCCATTGCAAACTGGTAGTAAAGGTAAGTAGAACCCACCCCTGTATTGTTTGTGTTATATGTTGTTTCTGTTACATATTTTATCTTTTTAACTTATTCCAAAATCCCTTTCTGGAACTTGGTGTACCAATCCCTATATTGTCAATTATGGTTAAGATATAACTGTAATAAATAACAATGTAAAATCACCACAAATCAACATTTTTCCTGCTCCAATCCTGCTTTAAATCATCCAAATATACAGCTGAATCTTTCTCTCGCACACACATACACAGCCATTTTTCTTAGTTTAGTATGGGACAGGATTTTCCATCTGAGACCAGCCTATTTCTAGACCTCCATAGTTTTGGGCAGTGCTCTTTACTTTTCAACATCTGAACAAATTTCCAGATTTTTTTTTCTTTTTTTACTGAGGCATGATAAAACTGAACTTCTGTTGGAAACATTCCCAAATCCCAAAACCCCATTAGCCTTTCAGAAGACTCTGAAAATGGTTTTCCCAAAAACCATGGGGAGCCCAGGCTGAGGCTGTATAATGGTTACATTATCTTTAGGTGGATGTTTTTCTCCCTCAAGATTGCTTATATTTATTTCTTCAGATTTTTGTATTTGTGATATTGTTTAAATAGTTGATTGTACAGATCATAATCAGTCAAATAAATATTTTTTTAATTTTTTTTTCTTGATATAGCCAGCCAGCCAGCCATCCCTGTGTGGCACACAACACAAAAATAAAATTAAACGAAATAATTTCCACAATGGAGAAAATCATTGAAAAACTGAGCTTTCTACCACTGTAGACCTTTCATACATAAAAATCTAGATTTCTCTGACATTCCCTTTTCCTGCCAGAGTTGTTCAACCAACTGAAAGGTTAATCAGCTTTGGGCATTTCCAATCTTGAATTTGGTCGCAGTACACATAATCCTCAATTTATGACCACAACTGAGCCCAACATTTCTGTTACTAAGCAAGACAGTTAAGTGAGTTTTGCTCTATTTTGCGACGTTTCTTGCCACAGTTGTTATGAATCACTGGAGCTGTTAAGTTAGTCACACGGTTGTTAAGTGAATCAAGTTTCCCCATTGAATTTGCTCGTCAGAAGGTCCCAAAAATGTGATCACATGACCCCAGGACATGCAACGATCATAAATACATGCCGGTTGCCAAGTATCTGAATTTTGATCACATGTCTGTGGGGATGCTGCAATGGTCATAAGCTGCCTGGAGTCACTGAGAGTGAGTTGGACGGGCATACAGAATTTATTAAATTAATAAATAAGTTTAGTATTTTGGCTGAAGAGATTGTTGTCTCTTTACATATATCTAGCCTGGAATAGGACTAACAGGCTAGAAAAAAACAAAAAATTCTAGTCCTTTTCCTAAATATAATCTTCTAATTCTCTGGAAAATAATGATCTTTTTAAAAATTCTACAGACTTACCTGCTTGTCAGATTTAACAGGACTACTTGTAAATATCACCTTCTGCTTCTTCCAAAGAGGGAAGCAGTTTCTTAGATGACCAGGCTGTATCCTGATATCGCACAAATAATGATCATGAAAAGAGAAACTTTATATATTGCAGGGAGGTGCATTGACCAACTGGATTTTGCCGATAAAGAGGGAGGAAGCTGCAAATATTGACAAAAGGTTCCAAAATCAAAGCGGTGGAAAAGCAGAGAAGTTTCAATCAAATGGGGATACAGAGGACAGTCACTATCTCTGGTGTGAAACCTGCAGCCTTGAAAAGAACCATTACAACATCTGCCCAGATTTCAAAGCAATTAAAGAACCTGAAAGCAAATAACAAATACCCGAGGCGATCCTAAACTGGTTCTGATCAGATTCTGATCAGATTTGGTTTTCTTGTTTCCTGCTGGGAATTGTTCCTATTGAAAAAGAATGAATAACTATGCTTGTTACTAAAGCAGTGTTTCTCAACCTTAGCAATTCTATGACATGTGGACTTCAACTCCCAGAATTCCCCAGCCAGCAAGTCTGGCTAGGGAATTCTGGGAGTTGAAGTCTGCACATCTTAGATTTGGCAAGGTTGAGAAACACTGTACTAAAGGTTAATAACAGACATATGCTTTCATATAATTTTTTCATAGAATCATAAGGCTGGAAGGGCCCTTGGAAGTCTTCTGGTTCAACTCCCTGAGCAAGCAGGAGCCTTATACCAACCCAGTCAAATAGTCATCCAGTCTGTTTTTTGAAAACCTCCATTAATGCAGCACTCACAAAGACAAGAGGCAAGCTATAGCACTGATTAATTGCTCTCACTGTCAGAAAATTTCTCCTTACTTCTAGTTTGGATCTCTCTTTGACAAGTTTTCACTCACTACTTCCTGCCCTATCCCCAGGTGACCTAGAGAATAAATGAATCCCCTCTTCTCTGTGACAATCCCTCAAGTACTGGAAGACAGCTATCATGTCCCCCCTAATCCTTCTGTTTGATAGGCAAGATAGAGGTGGAGAGGAAAAGATAAGTCATAGAAAAAGAAGAAAAGACTGGAAAAAGGAAAAGGAGAGGAAGATTGGAGAAATTAAGAGAGAGAGAAGCCTAGACTTGAACACCGGGTCTTATCTAACAAAATGAAATTCAATGTAGAGAAAAGTAAAGTCTTACACTTGGGCAAGAAAAACCAAAAGTACACATATAGACTGGGTGGAACCAGGCTTAATAGCAGTAATTGTGAGAAGGATCTTGGAGTCTTAGTGGACAACCACTTAAATATGAGCAGCAGCAGCTAGAAAAGCCAACACAATCCTAAATTGCATTAACATAGGAATACAATCAAGATCAAGTGAGGTACTAATACTATTCAATAAAGCTTTAGTAAGACTGCACCTAGAATACTGCATCCAGTTTTGGTCACCACATTATAAAAAAGATGTTGAGACTCTAGAAAGAGTGCAGAGAAGAGCAACCAAGATGATTAGGGGGCTGAAGACTAAAACATAGGATGAACAGTTGCAGGAACTGGGCATGGCTAGTCTAGTGAAGAGAAGGACATGATAGCAGTGTTTAAATATTTGAGGGGCTGCCACAGAGAGGAAGGGGTCAAGCTATTTTTCAAAGCCTGGCAAGGAATAATGGATGGAAACCGAACAAGGAGAGATTCAACCTAAAAATAAGGAGAAATTTTCTGACACTGAGAGCAATCAACCAATGGAACAGCTTGCCTTCAGTTGTGGGAGCTTCATCACTGGAAGTTTCAATAAGAGACTGGACTGCCATCTGTCAGAAATGGTGTAGGGTCTTCTGCTTGGGTGGGGGGGTTGGACTAGATGACCTACAAGGTCCCTTCCAACTCTGTTAATCAGTATCAGTATTCTATAATTAATATGTATCACATATACCTACCACTCTCAACTACTTGTCATACAATTTAGCCTCCAGATTCTTTGTTATTGTTGTTGCTCTTCTCTGCATACTTTGCAGGATCTCAACATCTTTTTTATATCATGACCAGAACTGGACACAATATTCCAAGTGTGGTTTCATCATGTAAAGGAATACTATAACTTCTCATTGTCTTGACACCATCCCTCTGTTGATGCAGCCTAGGACTGCATTGGCTCTTTAGCAGTTGCAGCACACTCGCTCATAGTTAAGTGGTAGTCCACTACAACACCTAGATCCCTCTCACCGTTACAGCTATTGAGCCAGGTACCACCTATTCTATACCTATGCATTTGGTTTTTCCTGCCTAAGTGTATAACTTTATTTTCCTCACTATTGAATTTCATTTTGTTGGATGGGGCCAATTGTTCAAGTCTGTCAAGATCTTTCTGGATCTTGAGCCTATCTTTTAAAGCATTGGCTATTCCTGCCAGCTTGGTGTTGTTTGCAAATTTGATGAGTTTCCATTCTATCCAGTGGTGAAATCCAATTTTTTTTAATATCGGTTCTGTGGACATGGTGTGGCTTGGTGGGCATGGCAGGGGAAGGATACTGCAAAATCTCCATTCTCACCCCACTCTGGGCCAGCCAGAGGTGGTATTTGCCGGTTCTCCAAACTACTCAAAATTTTCGCTGCCAGTTCTCCGAACTGCTCAAAATTTCCGCTACCGGTTCTCCAGAACCTGCTGGATTTCACCCCTGATTCTATTCCTTTGTCTAGATCACGGGTGTCAAACTCATGGCGTCACATCATCACATGATGTATCGTGACTTTTTCCCCTTCGCTAAACCGGGGGTACGGATGGCCAGTGTATGACGCATCCAGCCTGTGGGCCGCAAGTTTGACACCCTTGGTCTAGATCATTTATGAAGATGTTAGAGAGTACTGGACCTAAGATAGGTGTCAGCGTCCCAGCACTGACATATATAAGGGGAGGAGAAGGTTGAACTTTGCCTACTTAATTCCTTTGAAGATTCTGTCTCCTCAGAGATGGGAGGAGGGGGACATTCCTGTGATCTGACGGAGGAGGGATGAGGAAAGTGGCTTGGAAGATAGCCAATGAGATGCAGAGAATTGGGGATCGGAAAGGGAGGGATTGGGGGGCAAAGGTCAGTACTGACCGCGAAAGAGTCAGGGACAGATCACTATGCTCAATAAAGAGAAAATTTCCTTAAAGATCGGCAGTTTGGAAATTCCTTTATTTTGAGATAGCATCGAAACCTGACAATAGGGCTGTGTGGTTCCCTTACTGAAGTCCAAGTATACTATGTCCACAACATCTCATTCATCCACTAATTAAGCTACTTTATCCAAAAAAAGAAAATTTGGGGAGGAGGGAAGTGTAGACTCTATTTTGGCTTGCTGCAATTTTAATGTCAGGTCCCTGTCAGAACGCTGCCATTCTGAGGTGGGGCCAGGGAGGCAGCTTTGTGGGTTGATTGTTTTACATACTTTCGCTTTTGCTGTAACTGCTTGGGAGTTTGAGGGAGGGAGACTCAGCCATCTGCACAGGCTCCCCCTCAGCGTGTCCAAGCCAGGTGTTCAAGGTCCAAGGATGACCTCTTCTCACCATCCCAGCTGGGAGTTTCAAAACACCTTTGTGGCATTTTATTGGCTACAGATGGACATGGGCATTGGGGTGGGAGTTGAAGGGGAAAGTTAGACTAACGCTTCGCCTGACTTTCACCTGACTTCTTTGCGATCACTATCTCTCAATAAAAGTTCCTTTTGAACTTCAAGAGTTTTGCTTTCTTGAGAAGGTAGTTGAGGCAGGTCCTTGCAATTAGTCTATTAACTTTAGCCTTGGCAGTTGTATTTCCTCCTCTGATCCTACTTAATAGCCATAGGAGGTATGACTGGAATAGGTGGTGCTGAAAATTTTATATCTTTTCTGGGCTCAAGGTGGCATTAAATATAATATTGGTGCTTTAGCAAAGGCTTATGGTATCCATGTCACTCCCTAACTTCACCCGTGTTACATGGACCCGTATTTCAGGGAGATTAGGGTTTTAAGACCCTAAAAAGGGGTTTGCAAACAATCTTATCTCTTCCTAAGGACAATTTTGTTTGTTATATAGAACCCGATGAACCTGCCCTTTGGCTTTCTGACTCAAATAAGTGTTTTGTTGTGCAATAAAATTGAAGTTGCATTTTCAGTAAACATTGGATAATCTATTTCAACATAGCACTTTTTGTTAGGGAAGTCAAACCCCCAACTCTGCAGAAGTGGATCTGGCATGTTTTGTGACTAAGAAGATGCCTTTATCTCTAAAGTTACCACAGTATATCTGCACAGTATGGACCATTGTGAAATAAATACCTTTTTAAAAAATGTAAAAATTTTCTGAGAGGCTGACCTTTCTTCTAATTTAGAAAAATGCTTAGATCATTTGAAATTCCCCTTTTAAAACCAAATTACCCCACAATATTTTTTCCTGTAATTTGCTTTGCTTAGTAATGGAAATTTATAATATTATTATTATTATTATTATTATTATTATTATTATTATTATTATTATTATTATTATTATTATTATTTTATTTCTATACCGCCCTTCTTCCGGAGGACTCAGGGTGGTGTACAGCCTATTAAAAGCACAAAGACAAACATCAATTAAAAATAATTAAAATTATTTAAATAGGTTCGGCTCAAATTTAAAACCCCCAAAATTTAAAACACCTAATTTAAAATCATTACATTGATAGCCCAGCCTGGCGGAACAGCAGGGACTTGAGGGCACAGTGAAATACACAGCGGTCGGAGATCTTAGGCATTTCCGGGGGCAGTTCATTCCACAGGGCAGGGGCTCCCACAGAGAAGGCCCTCCCCCTGGGTGTCGTCAGCCGACATAACTTGGTTGATGGCACCCTGAGGAGACCCTCTCTGTGGGAGCGGACTGGCCAGTGGGAGGCTATTGGTGGCAGAAGTCCGTCTCGAAGGTACTCAGATCCTATGCCATGGAGCGCTTTAAAGGTGGTAAGCAGCACCTTGAATCGCACCTGGAAGACCACTGGAAGCCAGTGCAGCTCGCGCAGGAGGGGTGTCACGTGGGCACAACGAGTTGTGCCCATAACCACCCACGCGGCCGCATTCTGGACCAGTTGGAGCCTCCGAGTGCTCTTCAAGGGGAGCCCCATGTAGAGAGCATTACAATAGTCCAGCTGGGAGGTGACAAGGGCGTGAGTGACCGTGCGCAAGGCGTCCCGGTCCAGAAAGGGCTGCAACTGGCGAATCAGGAAAACCTGATAAAAAGCCCCCCTGCCCACGGCCGTCATATGCTCTTCTAAAGACAGTCATGCGTCCAGGAGGACGCCCAGATTGCGAGCCCTCTCTGTGGGGGGCAGAGATTCACCCCCAATAGTCAGCGATGGCACCAGCTGACTATATTGGGATGCCGGTCCCATTTTGGTCCCAACTGTGATCAAAAGTCAAGGTCTGCCTGTAACACAAACCTAAGTCCAGAGGTGGTATTCAGCAGGTTCTGACCAGTTCCAGAGAACCGGTAGTGAAAATTTTGAGTAGTTCAGAGAACTGGTAAATACCACCTTTGATTGGCCCTGCCCCCATCTATTCTCTGCCTCCCGAGTCCCAGCTGATCGGGAGGAAATGGGGATTTTACAGTAACCTTCCTCTAGAATGGGGAGGGAATGGAGATTTTACAGTATCCTTCCCCTGCCACACCCACCAAGCCACGCCCACAGAACCGGTAGTAAAAAATTTTGAATCCCACCACTGCCTAAGCCACTTACAGAATTTAAGACACTTCCAGAGGAAGAAATGATGGATTGAAGACAGCACCGCAAAAAGCAAAACCAATGACCATGGCAAAGAACCAGTGAGTAGATCGGCTCTTTGAACCTCTATAGATAAAGGAAAGAACCACAAGTGTTCCAGACAGTTGTTCTTCACAACAACACTACAATATAGAGATTCCAGTGGATTTTGAGCACTGGGAAACAAAGGAGTACCATCTTCTTCAAACCATAGTTAATGCCTTTAAAAGGACACTTAGTTTACAAACTTCCTTTTCTAATAACTTTTGGAAATTGCTTATTAACCATATTTCAGCTGTTATAAATATTTGGAGAAACAAGTCTGAAAACACTAGATGAGTCTTCCTTCAATCCTTAATGAAAGAAAAAAATTAACTAGAAGCTTAAAAATAAAACACCAAAAGGTCGATTAAAACTTTGGTTTTAGAAATTCACAAATGTACTAAGGATCCAGGTGGATTTAAAAAAAGGTTTTGGAATTAAGTATAAAAAATTCTTCCCTTGGAAAAATGTAATGTTTTGAATTTTTTAAAATATAATAAGATAAGATTTTAAAAATTGGCCACTAGAGGGAACTAATGATTACAATTAATGAAGAAAAATGCAACAGTTGCAGAATGGCACAAAATATTCTAACACTAGATTGAAGGATCCAATATTGGAGGATATTTTTGAAAAATTGTCAGAAATTAACATTAACGATAATGATAAATGCAGACCTGAGAACCGGCAAATAGGACCACCAGCTAGCTCAGTTTTTCGGGCTGTTTTTGGGCTGTTTTCAGGCCATTTTGGGCCATTTTCCTGACCAAAATCTGCCTGAAAATGGCCCAAAAAAAACCAGCCTGAAAACGGCCCCCAAAACACCCAAAAACAGGGGATTTTGGGGCCATTTTCAGGCCATTGTTTTGGTCCAAAAACAGCCTCAAAACAGCCTGAAATGGCCCAAAAAATGGCCTGAAAACTGCCCAAAAAAGTTGGCTGTGAGAGGAAGAGAAGCCAGATGAGCTGGACCCAGATGTGAATGTCTCCCGGGTCCGCTCGTCCCAGAAGCAGCAACCTCGCACTCTCCTCTCTCTGCTAGCCCCCTTCTTCGCACGGGATTGCCCAGCAGCGGAGATGGAGAGGGAGAAGGGGGCAGTGGCAGTCACTTTTGCCACCCTTTAGCTGGTTTATAAGAATCTTTATTTTGGCACAAGACTGGGACCCAACTGGAGAGCAGATTGAGATTTAAGATGAATTTAGAAGACTATTCTTGTTATATATAATTCTTTTAAAGTGCCCCCCACACACACTGATTAAAGATGGGAAATGAGTTTTTTTTTTTTTTATTACATTCAGTGGTGTCTCGGTTCTTGGAGATTGCCTGGATACCAAACTGGCTCTGGGGAAGTGAAAGGACTCGGTCAATTGGTGGACACCTGAAGCATATTTTCTGAGGTGGAAGGAACTTTTTTTGTGAATAAAATCAGTCAATATGGCCTTCAAAATTTTCCAGTTTCCTGAGATTCTACAGAAGCTTTCCACCTGTTGTTGACAGAAAGGCATTTTGCAACAGTAGATTCCATTCTAGCTTAGATGATTCCTGCACAATCTCTCCCAGATCCTTCCTCCTTAAGGTATTCATCAGGTTCATTGCCATTGCTGGCAGAGCCCAAAACTCATCAATGAAGGCAAATATGTATGTGTCCCAGGACAAACTAAGCCAAGAGTTTGGTCTCTGCAGGATCCAATCAGACTTGGGTCACTGAGACCAGAGTTTCAGCCTTCCGAGCTTTTGAACTCATGCTGGAGTCCATCCTCAGGGAACTTCTGTCTCTCCAGAATGTGCATTTTTTTTAAAATTTGATTTATATGCCACCCTTCTCCGGAGACTCAGGGCGGCTTACAATGCGTTAAACAATAGCCTTCATACTTTTGTATATTTATACAAAGTCATCTTATTGCCCCCACAAACTGGGTCCTCATTTAACCTACCTTAGAAAGGATGGAAGGCTGAGTCAACCTTGAGCCTGGTGAGATTTGAACTTGCAGTAATTGCAGGCAGCAGATGTAAGTGGATGTTAATTAGTCTGCTGAGCCACCAGAGCTCCTAGTTCCCTGAGGATGGGCTCCAGCATGAATCCAAAAGCTTGGAAGACTAAAACTCTAGTCTCAGTGACCAAGTCAGATTGGATCCTGCTGAGCCCAAACTCTTGATTTAGTTTGTCTTCTGGCCTTGCTATCCTCAGGCATTCCCCAGCCCAAGGACATCAGAGGCTTCAGTTTGTAATATGCCTTCAGCACAGAACTGTAGGCTTACTGGTGAGAGAAACTGGTACCTGATAAATGTGACTTTGGCATGTGTACAGGCAAGATATACTCAGTTGGATCTCCTTTTATGATATTAATGTTTAGCATCAGCCAGGTCAATGGCAGGTACATTGATTTTTATAAACTTTTTACATAAGCAATCGTGTGTTTAGGTTTGGGACTTTTGGGATGACCATGACCTGGATGACTGAGAATCTCTACAGACTTTTAGCTATACAACTTGGGATGAACACTCTTTTGAATGGTGAGGGAGTAGGAATGGATTTCCAGAGGGGAAAAAATTGCAAACTACAGGAACCATTTGCACTTACTCAAGTGACCCTGAGGACACAGATAAACCTCCAAGTGCTTCAAGGACCCTCTAAAAGGATGCAGATGACCAGCTGTCTGCAAGGAATATAAATCCCATTCCTCACCATCCAATCAGAGCCAGAGAAGCTTCTTGGACGAGAAGTGAAATGTCTTCATAAGAAAAAAACAAGAAAGTCCAGCTGTCTCCTGAAAAAGCACCTTTGGGACAACCATGACCTGGATGACAGAATCTCTACGGATCATTAATCACTGTCCAATGATCTGTTCTGCCATCCTCACCACTCTCTGCCATCGCCTTCCTCTCCGAAGCAGTAACTCTTCCAAACCAGACAGGACAAACTAGTCCTGAAACCTTGCTTAAGAAATCTGGAGGAACTTCTCCCGATTGTCACCAGGCGTCAACACTGACTCGAAGGCACCCTCGCACGAAACAGAAAGATCCGTGGGGTTTTGTGTTTTGTTTTGTTTTGTTTTGTTTTGTTTTGTTTTGTTTTGTTTTGTTTTGTTTTGTTTTGTTTTGTTTTGTTTTGTTTTTTTAATCGATTCCCTTTCTGGCTTTTGCGTTAAGTTAGCAGAACACGTTTTTCCTACTAGACAAAAACTACGGGCATGCGCAACTGCGCAGGTACCTAAAGCCCTTTCTTGTTTCGAACCCTCCCTGTTGTACTTCAATTCAATGGAATGAAAAAAGGCACTACATTTCCCAGAAGCCTTTGTGCCACGGAACCGGGGGGGGAAAAATGCACTGGGGTAGCTTCGTTTTGCTAAGAGCGACGGACTCGGAGAGGCTCTTTGCGCGGAATTAGGAAGCCGGTTTTAATGGTCCTTTAATCAGTTGGACCAATGCAATCACAGCGCTTGAGCTTCAGCCGAGAAGGGTAAAGACGGATGTGGGTCATCAAAGGCTAAGCCCAAAAAGGAATATTAATAATAGCCTGTCTGCTTTCTTTATATATTTTATGGAGTACGCAGGAATGCAGAAGTTTCCTTATTAGGGTTTTGCTTGGTTTTGTTTCTGTAACTAATCAGGCTCCTTCCTCTTTGCACGGTCAAGAGTTCATCCTCTGCCTACTGAAAGAGTGCACTTGAGCAAGAAAAAGAAGAAGAAAGCTAGTCTCCAGATCGCACAGGTGAGTGAATGGAAATGGATTGGTCCGAATTCCTAGCCTTTTGCTACCCATGAAATTGCACGTTACCTATAGGGCAAACCTATACTCAATGCCAGTTGGGATGGATGCAAATATTGATAAGAAGGGTCAAAACAGTATTATGAAAAAAGTCTATAGGTGGGAAGACACGCCAACATGTTCTTGCACATCTAAGATCCTTTTAGGAGAACCGAGTTGCATTGTAGCAACATCTCTATTTTATTATCATTTTTTATCCTGCCACATCCCTCCAAAATTAATGAAATTAATGGGTTGTAACAATTCATTGGGGGAGGGGAATGTAGCATCCTTTAATTTTGCTATTCCAAATCTAAGGAAGTGGGGAAGTGAGAGAAACAATGCGATGTGATGTTTCTCATGCTGGCTGGGGCAATTGTGAGAGTTGAAATCCGCACATCTTAAAGTTGCTGAGGTTGGATGTCACTCATGTTTCTGACATGTATAACATTGCTGGAGGTGTTGCACTTCTTAGAAATATGTTTCAAAGTGCAGTTTGAATTGCTGGTGCTACCTTTAAAGCTCTACATCAGGGGTCCCCAACCCCCGGGCCATGACCTGGTACCAGGTTAGGTACCAATCCTGTTGGGAACTAGGCCATGCAAATGGCTGGCAAGCAGGCGAAGCTACATTTGCACAAATGGAGCTTCGTGCACAAGCATGCCACTTGCACAGAACCATCTCCTACCCTCCCCCCCCCCCCGTTCTGCCCCAGCTACGGACCCGAAAGAACGCAGCACACACAAAATCTGAACAAACCTTAGTTTACTAAATTAAATCAGTCTTTTTCAAATAAAGGCTGTTAATTAACTTTCTTAACAGCCTACAAGAATCCAAAGAATAAATAATCGTAATCTTACTATGGTTGGCAGAAAACCCAGAAGCAATTTGCAGAGAACTAAGATCAGGACGTGAAGGAGAGTGAACGAAGTTGTTTCCTGCAAATTGCCTCAGTCGTTGTCCTTCCTTAAATAGGCTAAGGGAGTGGCCAATTAGCCCCAAGCCTTACTCTCGAGGAGACCTCCTCCTGAGGAACCACTCCTGCCTTTTGGCAGCTCTGCGCGCCCATGCATCAAGAAGAGGCTCCTCCTCTTCTTCCTCTTCACTTAAGGGAGCTTCTGGAGGTTCTGAAGGCCCTGGCTGAATCCCTGCCTCTGGCACCACATCTTCTCCAGCCTCCTCATTGTCTGACTCAAGTGCCAGCTGCACAGGCTGCTGGCACAGCACCACACCAGCCTCCTCGCTGTCGGAATCAGCTACTAGCTGCACAGGCTGCTGACAGGCCACAACACACACACACACACACACCGCTGCTGCCACCACTATCACCAGTGCATAGAGCTGGGAAGGTTAGGGATCGCTGCCCTACATGGTATCAAAACGACTTAAGATTTTTCTAAACAGATCTATCAATCAATTATAGAGTCATAGGGCTGGAAGGGACCTTGGAGGTCTTCTAGTCCAACTTTCTGCCTCCAAGGCAGGAGTCCTTATTCCATCCTGGACAAATGGTGATCCAATCTTTTCTTGAGAACCTCTAACAATGGAGCACCCACAACTCCAGGAAGCAAGCTATGCCACTAACTAATTATTCTCACTGTTGGGAAATTTCTCCTTAGTTCCAAGTTGGATCTCTCTCTGACAAGCTTCCACCCATTGCTTCTTGTCCTGTTCTCGGATGCTTTGGAGAATAAATCTACCCCAGGGGTGAAATCCAGCAGGTTTTGACAGGTTCTGGAGAACCGGTAGCGGAAATTTTGAGTAGTTCAGAAAATACCACCTCTGGCTGGCCCCAGAGTGGGGAGGGAATGGGGATTTGCAATATCCTTCCCCTGGAGTGGGATGGCATTGGAGATTTTGCAGTATCCTTCTCCTGTCATGCCCACCAAGCCACACCCACAGAAACGGTAGTAAAAAAATTTGGATTTCACCACTGATCTACCCCCTCTTCCCTGTGAACCATGCTTCAAGTATTGAAAGACAGCTATCATATTACTCTAAGCCTTCTTTTCATTAAGCTAAACATACCTAGTTCCTTAGGTGTGCATCATACGGTTTAGTCTCCATTGTCATCTTTGCTGCTCTTCTCTGCATTCTTTCTAGGGCCTTAGTATCTTTTTTGTATTGTGATGACCAGAATTGGATGCAATGTAGCCACATTAGTGCAGAATAGAGTGGTAGTATCACTTCTTGTGATCTTGATGTTATCCCTCTTTTGATTTATCCTAGGACTGCATTGGCTCTTTTGGCAGTTGCAGGACACTAGTGGCTCATATTTTAGTGATGGTCCACCAGGACAGCTAAATCCTTTTCACAGGCACTATTTTATTTTATTTTTTTGCTTTAATTTATATGCCGCCCTTCTCCAGAGACTCAGGGCAGCTTACAATGTGTTAAGCAATAGCCTTCATACTTTTGTATATTTATACAAAGTCAGCTTATTGCCCCACACAATCTAGGCCCTCATTTTACCTACCTTTGAAAGGATGGAAGGCTGAGTCAACCTTGAGCCTGGTGAGATTTGAACTTGCAGTAATTGAAGCAGCAGATGTTAATAACAGTGCTTTAGTCCACTGTACTACCAAGCCATGCACTGCCTATTCTATTCCTGTGCATTTGGTTTTTCCTGCCTAAGTGCAGGACCTTCCTTTTATCACCACTGAACATTGGATAGTGTCCAATGCTGAAGTCTGGCAAGATTCTTCTGAATTTTGAATGTATCTTCCAGAGTGTTAGCAATTCCTTCCAGCTTTGTGTCATCTGCAAACCTGATGAACTCCTCTTCTATCCTGTCATCTAGATTTTTTATGAAAATGTTGAAGAGCAACAGGTGTCTCTTTCTTTCTCTCTCTCTCTCTCTCTCTCTCTCTCTCTCTCTATATATATATATATATATGTATATGTATATGTATATGTATATGTATATGTATATGTATATCTATCTATCTATCTATCTGGCTCCCCTCCTAAAGAAGAGTTTGAGACAAGACTGACCCCTTCTCTCATGGAAACTAGTAAAATTTGGACTTATCTCAAAGGACTTTGGGATCAATGACACCAAAATGAATTTGTAATACTGTAATGTATGGTATTAATATAATTTTGTATTTGTTACTATTGCCTTATTTGTATTATATTCTGTAATTGCATAGAGTCTGTAAAGGACTAAGATGGGGATAAATCTCAGAAATAAATAAAGAAAATTGTCAAATCCAGATAGCCACATGGTAGCATATACAAAGCTTTGAAATGTTTGACACTTGGAATCCTTTGATCACTTAATGGTTATCTAAAGTTTTACTAGATCAAAAAGATCAGGGCCTCTGATATTATGATATCCCTCAAACTCTTAAGAATCCAATCCATATAAGCAAAACTTTAAAAAAAAAATTACTGTTGTTCATAGTCCTTTTTTGCATGCTGTCAGTTGTTTTGTCACTTAAATAATTTAAGATATCTTTATCACTTCATTGTTTTACCAGAATGATAAAGGACAAAGAAGCCTTTCAGAGACTGAATTTCCTCTATCAGGTAAGAAAAATTTCCCGACATAGGAATTAATTTCATTAGGCTGTTTAAAATGGGGATTGTAATGGGAAGTAACCCTTAGCTATGCCTCAGTTTCCAGTTTGCTCACAAACGCATGTGAAATTCATGTTTTTCTCTTGGGTACAATCAGAAAGACAAGTCCTTTAAAGGCAATGTAGAGGCAGCATGCACAGCATGGTTTCTGGAATTTTTTCCAACCCCTTTCCCAACAGCACTTATATAGGAGGCATCTATTTTTTTCCTGTATTGCACATGTATGTGTGCATGTCCATGTTCCTACTCTTCCCACGAGTAGGAATGTACCACATTCCTACTCGTGGAATGTGGTACATCTACATGTGTTTGTATGGGTGCATATTCTCCCTAGAGTTAAATCAGGGCAGGTACCTATGTAACTAAAGGTGTATTGGTTGCTTGGGTTCTCTATATCTTCCTGCTGAATGCTATATATGTGAACTAGGAAGCACAGTGGGCTGCATATATATCTGGCTTGATCACATGACCAAGAGGGAGGTGGGGTTAAGAATGGAGCAGTTGGCAGAATTCTATAGGATTGAAGTGCATTGTATTTTTTTCTTCTGGATTCTTCACAATCCTAAATTTGTTTTTCAACTTGTCCCTTCTCCCATCCCACGACAAATTTGATCCTGTTTTCACATAATGATCCTTGAAGATGTGTGGACTTCCAACTCCCAGAATTTTCCAGCCAATAAACCAGGGCATTCTTGTAAGATCCAGATAGCCCTATAAGCAATCAAGGGCCTTGGTAGTACAGTGGTCTAAGGCACCCTGTTATTAAGCTGGTTATTAAGACCAGCTGCCTGCAATTACTGCAGGTTCGAATGTCGCCAAGGCTCAAGGTTGACTCAGCCTTCCATCCTTTCAAAGGTAGGTAAATTGAGGACCCAGTTTGTGGGGGGCAATAAGCTGACTGTATAAATATACAAAAGAATGAAGGCTATTGCTTAGCACATTGTAAGCCGCCCTGAGTCTCCAGAGAAGGGCGGCATATAAATCAAATTAAAAAAAAAAAATCACCAAAAGGATGTACCTCATCCTGACTTGCTTTGGAAAGCAATCAACTAGGGGGCTCATTTGATTTTCAAGGAAGATTGCCCACAATACAAAAGTCATAATGGGGAAATAATGAATGTCACCCTTCCCAAAGTGGGAATCACCAAGGATGAGCCTCATGCCCAAGTAGTGAAAATCAGTGAAGACTTTCTCACAAAGACACAGTCTTTCAGGATCTGGCCAATCAATGTCTTGTAGTAAAATAAGACACCTCCTTTAGTGGTCACATTATGCTACTAGAGGTCTGACATCTGACCCAAGAAAATTAAAGTAGCTTTTAAGATGAGCTTTTAGCACTCGTCACCTCTCGTCTGGACTATTGTAACGCTCTCTACATGGGGCTCCCCTTGGGGTACACCCGGAGGCTCCAACTGGTGCAGAATGCGGCCGCGCGGGGGATTATGGGAGCGACGGGGCACTCCCATGTGACTCCTCTCCTGCGCGAGCTGTATTGGCTTCCGGTGGACTTCCGGGTGCGCTTCAAGGTGTTGGTGATCACCTTTAAAGCGCTCCATGGCTTAGGGCCAGGGTACTTACGGGACCGCCTTCTGCCACCAATAGCCTCCCACCGGCCAGTTCGCTCCCACAGAGAGGGCCTTCTCAGGGTGCCGTCAGCTAGACAATGCCGGCTGGCGACCCCCAGGAGGAGAGCCTTTTCTGTGGTGGCACCTACCCTTTGGAACAATCTACCCCCAGAGATACAAGTGATCTCCGACCTCCGGACTTTTCGTCGGGCCCTAAAAACTCATCTCTTTCAGTTAGCCTGTCTCTCTTGATTTTATGATTTTATGGTTGGTTTTAAATTTTGATATGGATTTTAAATTGATAAATTTTAAACTATGGGCCAAATTTAATTATTTTAAATCTATTTTTAATCGTACTTTATGTATAAATGCTTTTATTTTGGCTGTTCACCGCCCTGAGTCCGAAAGGAGAGGGGCGGTATAGAAGTTCGAATAATAAATAAATAAATAAATAAGATGCGCTAAGATTCTTTACATGTTTTACAACCAAGGCCTTAATAGGATCAGGATGATTCTCCACAAGATCCCTTTGCTATGAGGCAACTGAACTGTGTAGGATGCTTTTAGCCTGGATATCTCTGGGAGGCGATAAGAACATTTCTCTTTCTTACACAGGCAGCGCATTGTGTGCTCGCCCAAAACCCAAATAACCAAGAGTTGGCTCGTTTCTATTGTCACACTCAAAACAACATCAGCCGGCGGCTCGTCTTGAGACAGTGAGTAGCCATCATTTGTGGGAGACGATTATAAGCAGGGTATAAATTCTAGGATAAAATACTGTTTCCAGTCCAGTAATAAGTGGAACATTTTCTATTCCCATTTTTGAACCTATTTTCTCCCTGTTGCCCATTTTTTTCCCCTTAAAAATCTACTTGTAATCTGACATGGATTATTAATGCTTTATTTATTCTCGTTTTCTTTATGGGGAACAATTTTGTAATTATTAACAATGCATTCATATTTAGGAGTGAGACTGGAGTTGGTGAGACTTCAATAAATAGATCTAAGGTTTGTCTGTACTCCATAATTCGCAACCAAAAAAATGCCAGTTTTACTACTATCATACAGATAAATTCATGGCTGCCTTGAGATTTCAATCAACTTTTGGCACATGATACAGTTTTTGCTCTTAATTGCTCCAATATAGAAATCACATTGTTTTAGCCCTTTCTCACAACTCCTCTTCTTTTACTGTTTTCTAAATTTGGCATTATGGGTCAAAACTGATATTGATGATATTGAGCTTGGTCAGGGGTCGGCAACCTTAAACACTCAAAGAGCCACAAAGGTCCTAACCAGAAGCCCCCCATTCAATTCTAGAGTCAACTGGAAATCCGGTTCCCCCACCATAGAGTCTCCTCCTAGCGCGGCATCCTTTTTCCTCTGCCGACTGGAAGTCTGGTTCCCCCACCACCATAGAGTCTCCTCCTAGCATGGCAAGCTTTTTCCTATGCTGACCGGAAGTCTGGTTTCGTCCCCCCCACCATAGAGTCTCCTCCTAGGGTGGCGTCCTTTTTCCTCTATCTGTCCTAACCGAAAGCCCTATCAATTGTGAAGCTGACTGGTGACAAGGAGCTGCAGCAGAGGGATGAAAGAGCCACATGTGGCTCCAGAGCCACGGGTTGCTGACCCCTGAGCTTGGTATTTCCCAACCTGGCAACTTTAGGGTGTTTGGACTTCAACTCCCAGAGTTCCCTAGCCTGCAGGAGGAACTGAACTCCATACCTCTTAAAATTGATGAGGTTGGCAAACAATGGTTTAGAAGAGCTGGGTGGTTTTTGGTTGATATCTCACTTTGGCCACAAACTCAGCGATTCTGTTGATACCTCTCATTATAGCACAACTTTGCTAACCCAAATGTTACATTTGGCTAGGTTCATGTATTGCAGTGAGCCACAAGGAAACTCATATATCCCATTAAGGCAAAGACTAGATTCTTCCCTAACCAAAACCACATTATAGCTTAGTTTGATATGAACACCCTGTCATCGTGTGGCTGGCTATAAATAGTATAAGTCAGGGGTCTCCAACCTTGGCAACTTTATGACTTGTGGACTTCAACTCCCAGAATTCCTCAGCCAGCTAAGCTTGTAGACTTCAGCAAAGCTGGCTGAGGAATTCTGGGAGTTGAAGTCCACAAGTCTTAAAGTTGCCAAGGTTGGAGACCCCTGGCATAGATAGCCTTCAAGTGAACAAGGGTAATTGAAGTGCTACAAATTAATTGATTACCTGATTTTGTGTGCAGGGACCCTTCCGTGAAAAGGACCATCTGCAAATCCTGCTTCTCTCTTCTCATTCCTGGAGTCAGCTCAACTGTTCGCCAAAGAAGTCAGTATTACATTATTTTCCTCCACTTTTGCAGCATTGCCAGGATGCTCCTTGGTGTTATTCTTGCTCTAAGAACAGAGGTCTTCAAACTTGGCAGCTTTAAGACTTGTGGACTTCAACTCCCAGAATTCTCCAGCCAGCTATCCTATGCTGGCTGGAGAATTCTGGGAGTTGAAGTCCACAAGTCTTAAAGCTGCCAAGTTTGAAGACCTCTGCTCTAGAATCTGATATGGTTAATGCTCCTCCCCGTTGGGGTAAATGGATGCTAGGGTTGAGGTGGAGAAGAGGGACTCGGGGGGGGGGGGGAGAGGGTAGGGGGAGGAATGACCTGCATTTCCCAGTTTGATTTCTCTCTTTTCACCCAGTAACCACAAAGCCACGTCTTCTCCTGTGGCCTCACATTTCAACGCAGCAGCATTATAATGCTGAAAAAGATGGTGGCTGGAAAACCTTCTCATTTTTGCATGTCTTCAAAGCCATCTTTTTTATTTCCTTAGCTTTTCTCATTTTTACCGCCCATACTTGATACCTGCAATAAATCGTTCACATTCTGTTTCTAAGCCACGAAAGGCGTGTCCAACCTTTTGGCTTGTCTGAGCCTCATTGAGGGATGAGGGATTGTCTTGGGCTGCATATAAATTATATAATATGCTTAATGTATATAAATTACATATAATGTTAAAAGTTTACGATCTTATGGGGGTCACTGTATTAGCTACCCAGGGCCACATGGGGCCCATAGGCTGCAGATTGTACGTACCTGTTCTAACACATACTATACGGTCTTTTTGATTTAGAATCCATGAAACGAAGTTGCCAAGAAAAGTTAGGGAGCTTTGCTAGTGATTTGGTTTTAGGTAGTTACCTAGTTACAGATAGTAACCTTGACTTACGACTACAATTGAGCCCAAAATTTCTGTTGCTAAGAAAGGCAGTTGTGAGTTTTGCTCCATTTTACGATCTTTCTTCACACAGCTGTTAAGTGAATTACTGCAGTTGTTACTTAACACGATTGTTAAGTGAATCTGGCTCCCCCCTTGACTTTGCTTGTCAGAAGTTGGCACAAGGTGATCACATAACCCTGGGACCATTGTCAAAAATACACGCCAGTTGCCAAATATCTGAATTTTGATCATGTGACCATGGGGGTCACTGCAACGATTATAAGTATGAAAAAACAGTTCTCTTTTTTCAGTGCCTTTGTAACTTTGAACAGTCACTAAACAAATGGTTGTAAGACAAGGACTATCTGTATGTTTGGGGAATAGTGGTAGTCCTCGACTTACTGGTCCAACTGGTCCAGAATGTGGCTGTGTGGGTGGTTATGGGCGCAACTCGTTGTGCCCACGTGACACCCCTCCTGCGCGAGCTGCACTGGCTTCCAGTGGTCTTCTGGGTGCGATTCAAGGTGCTGGTTACCACCTTTAAAGCGCTCCATGGCATAGGACCCGGGTACCTTCGAGACCGATTTCTGCCACCAATAGCCTTCCACCGGCCAGTTCGCTCCCACAGAGAGGGTCTCCTCAGGGTGCCATCGGCCAAGTTACATCGGCTGGCGACACCCAGGGGGAGGGCCTTCTCTGTGGGAGCCCCTGCCCTGTGGAATTAACTGCCCCCGGAAATGCGTAAGATCTCCGACCTCCATGTATTTCGCTGTGCCCTCAAGACCCTGCTGTTCCGCCAGGCCGGGCTATCAATGTAATGATTTTAAATTTGGGGGGTTTTAAATTTGAGCTGAAACTATTTAAAATTTTAATTATTTTTAATTGATGTGTGTCTTTGTGCTTTTAATAGGCTGTACACAGCCCTGAGTCCTCCGGGAGAAGGGCGGTATAGAAATAAAATAATAATAATAATAATAATAATAATAATAATAATAATAATAATAATAATAATAATAATAATAATAATAATAATAATAATAATAATAATAATAATATATTATTATTATTATTATTATTATTATTATTATTATTATGACTGCAATTGAGTCCAAAATTTATGTTGCTAAGTGAGAAGTTTGTTAAGTGAGTTTTGCCCCATTCTACAACTTTTCTCGCCACATTTGTTAAGTGAATCGCTGCAGTTGTTAAATTAGTAACATGGTCGTTAAGCGAATCTGGCTTCCCAGTTGACTTTGCTTGTCAGAAATTCGCAAAAGGGGATCACGTGACCCCGGGATATTACAACCGTCATAAATGTGAGTCAATGGTCAAGCATCGAAATGTAAATCATGTGACGATGGGGATGCTGCAACGGTCATAAGTGTGGAAAAACGGTCCTGAGTCACTTTTTTTGGTGCTGTTGTAACTTCAACCGGTCACTAAGTGAATTGTAAGTCGAGGACTACCTCTAGTGGGAAGGGAGGGCAAGTCTTCTATTCCAGGCTCCTTTAAATGATTTGTTCTTCCATGTTTCTAAGCAGAGCGCCGTCATCAACGTTGGACTGTTGTGCAGTGCCTGAACTGTGGCCTAAGCAAACGTTTCCTCAGTAACCCTGACTACAAGTTGTGGTCGGAGCAGCCTGAGGCATTGCTGGAGAACCAGACGCCAGCCGGTGCAGGCACCAAAGGTAAACCAATGCTGGGAAGTCTCTGAAAGAGAAAAGCTGCTAGGAATGGAAGAAAACGGTCATCCTTGTTTTGTGCCTGAAGGTCCCTCTTGAGCAGGGGTGTCAAACTCAAGGCCCATGGGCCAGATCTGGCCTGCGGGGTGCTTAAATCTGGCCCACAGGGCCTGCCTGGAAATAGCAAAGGACCAGCCCGCGGTGCCTTTGGCAGCCAAAACGCTGGCAGGGTGCTGTAGGAGGCCATCGAGGCCAAAAATGGGGCGCGAGAGGGCACATGACCCCCCCCATGCTTCGTTTTGGCCGGCAGGGTGGTGCAGGAAGCGTCTGTCCCATCTCTCTCCACCCCCCAAGGTGGGTTCTACTTATCTTTACTACCAGTTCGCAACGGGATCGTGCACGTGCGTCACTTCGCTTGTGCGTGTGACTTGCTTCTGCGTATGCACAGATTGCTGATGATGACATCCAGGGCAGTGGGCAGGGTCTCCCGCCAGTTTTACTACCGGTTCTTGCGAACCGGTCCGAACCGGGGACAACCCATCACTGCCCCACCCCCACCCCGGATGGCCCATGGAGGACAACTACAATGCTGATCCGGCCCTCGAAAAAATCCAGTTTGACACCCCTGCTTTTGAGCAACCTTAGTTGCCGCAGAGCTAAACCCACCATCTTAGTTGCAATAGCAAGGGTTGTGGTGACCACAAATTTGAGGTAAATTTGACAGAGAAGGCTTTTCAAAATTTATCCTATGTTTGGTGGAGCATCAGAATGTTCCTCTCTTTATGTGAAATTTATTTTAGGGCCTATTTATTTTCCTTGTTGATTTTCAGCAACTAGGCCTGGAAGGGGGGAAAAAAATAGTTTGGTATCATGGTTAAGGTAGATGAAAGTGGGAAAATGTGATCTCCAGTCTGGCCTTTGGCCCAACGCCAGCAGGGTGTCCTTGGGCCGGTCATTCTCTCAGCCCTTGGAAGAAGAAGAAAACAAGGGGAAACTACTTCTGAAAAACCTTGCCAGGAGAGAACTGCAAGATCTTGTCTGGTCGCAATGAGTCAACAGTGACTCACACAAAAAAGTGTCAAAGGAACTCAGAAAATAAGTTTAGGGAGGACAAGCAGCTTGATCTTAAGGGGCCCTACTGTTGATTAAGATTACACTGTTCTCTGTTGACTGTGTTTACTAACTCTATTGAATTTTATTTCCTGAAGGGCAGAAATGGAGAAAGCGAGCCAGTTTAGTATACAGTACAGGTAGTCCTCGGCCTACGACCACAACTGAACCCAAAATTTCTGTTGTTAAGTGAGACATTTGTTAAGTGAGTTTTGTCTCATTTTACGACTTTTCTTGGCTAAGTGAATCGCTGCACTTGATAAATTAGTAATCTGGTTGTTAAGTGAATCTGGCTTCCCCATTTACTTTGCTTATCAGAAGATCTCAAAAGGAGATCACATGACCTCAGGACATTGCAACCATCATAAATATGAACCAGTTGCTACCTATGTGTCCAAATTTTGATCACATGATCAAGGGGATGCTGCAATATTTTCGTAATTATGAAAAACGGTCATAAGTCACATTTTTCAGTGCTGTTGCAATTTTTTTTTTGTATAAAAGTTTTTTATTTTAAAAACAAAAAACAAACAACAAAAAACAGAACATAAAAACATTCATCATTCTATACAATCATAGACAGTATATCGATCGGTGACATTCTTTTGTGCTCCTCCCCTCTTATAATCATCTTTTAACAGTGGCTAGAATTCTTTTTGCTAAAAATTGGAAAGGAGAAAAGATACCTATTGATGAAGAAATTATTAACAAAATGATTGAATGTGCTGAAATGAGTAAACTGACCTTTGAAATTAGAGAACAGGAAGATAAACAATATTATTTGATATGGGACTTATTTTATCAATGGACAGACAATAAATCTTGGAGATAACTATGTAATGAATGGAAGTTGATATAAATTAAGTGATATAATTTCTAAAGGAAATGAGCTTGGGACGTCTAGTGATAATTATAACACTGCTGTTGCAATTTTGAATGGTCACTAAATGAACTGTTGTCAGTCAAGGACTACCTGTAAGCCTTAATGGGCCTAGACTAGGAATGGGGGATATCTAGTCCCACTTTAAGCATGGAAACCACCTGGGTGACTTTGGGCCAGACCCTCCTTCCCTCTCTCTCTCTCTCTCTCTCTCTCTCTCTCAGCCCCAGGAAGAAGGAACTTGGCAAAAATGTTGCCAAGAAAAATGGGTCCACTCAACCACAGTTGGTTTGAAGGACCATAACAACAATAAAAGCAAGATAGCTGAGATGATTGTGATGATTCATGAATTATGAACATTCATGAGCACTGATATTTGTAAGAGACAGCATTAGAAGATCTTGAAACTGGGTTATAGGAAAATGGCCAAGAGAAGTGATGATGTGATGTCTGAACCTCTAGAGCAGGGGTGGGGAACCATGGCCCTTTTATGACTTGTGGACTTCAACTCCCAGAATTCATAAGCCAGCAAGTCATAAAAGGGTCACGGTTCCCCACCCCTGCTCTAGAGATAGAGACTATTGTCCATGAACTGAAGCGAGATAAATTGGCCTAAACACTCTCTCTCTCTCTCCCCCGCTTCTCCCTCTCCTTCCCTCTCTCTCTCTCTCTCTCTCTCTCTCCCCCTCTCCTTCCCTCTCTCTCTCTCTCTCTCTCTCTCCCTCCCTCTCTCTCTCTCGTTTGATTTTGAATCCCAAATACTCAGAACAGTGTTAAACGTGTTTGAGTAGCTAAGCAAAGAATAAAATTCTGGGTCGATTAAAATAAAATAGGTGAAGACTGGCCAAAAGGGGTGAAACTAAGAACAAACTGTGGGTGCTTCCAGATGGGAGAGGTTAAGCCACAAAAAAAAAAAAATGAGATGAGGAACCAGAATTCCTATTCCTGCATCAAAGTTGTAATATTTCTAGGCAGCATAAATGGCATTCAGCCATCCTGTATTATCCATAAAGTCCTGTCAAAAGAACATAATTGTGCTGTAAACAAGTCCTAGAATGGATCTAGGGTCTGTGGTTCCTTATTCTAGATTAGCCAGGGAAATGATTTGAATTGGAACTGAGAGGAAGGAGAGGAATTACAAAAAATAAAGAGAAGGGACAATTTGCATAGAATTGGGGCAAGAGAAGGGCAGGTAACTGTTTAGCAACTGGCATCCACAGACTTGCCTTGAAACCTTCTTATGTCCCATTTTTAGGCCAGACCACCAATGCAGCACAAGAGTCACACAGGGCCTCCCAAATGGGAAAGACAACAGTCCCGAGTTCCAGTCCGTGCAGCCGCCTTGCCTCTGAGGAAATCACAGCAGGCACCCAATTAGTAGCAGCAAAGAGTGGGAAGTGACATCTGCCTTGGGATTATTCCATTTCCAGGCAGGCAAGTGGCTATAGCCCAGACGCGAATCCCCGGCCTTGGATGGAAGAAGCCAGCAAGATGACGTTCAGTACAGAGAAAATCGAAAAATATACTTTCCAAAAGTTCAAATTGCTACTTGAAGAACTTCAATGAGTTGGTGGTCTTAATTTTAGGATAAAGTTGGCATCTTTGCTAATCTAATCTCTTAGTTGTTTTATGGGTTTTTTAAAGCTTTAATATGACTGTTTTTAACATGTTAATGGTTTCATATTTTTTGCTGTACAGTGCTGAAGTTGCTTCTGGAGAGATGGGCAGCCATGCATAATTTAATAAAGAAATATACACTGTACAATTAGAGCCAGGGTGTCAAACTCAAGGCCCAGGGGCCAGATCCAGCGAAGGGTTGGCCCGTGGTGCCTCTGACAGCAAAAACAGAGTTCGGAAAGGCCGCATGTGGATCCTTCCAAGCTCCATTTTCGCTGGCAGAGGGTTGTAGGAAGCCGTCGCAGCTGAAAACTCAGCTCAGGAGCCCATTTTCTCTGGGAGAGTGCTTGGGCCACCACAGGCGATCCTGACATGAGTGATGTCGAGTTGGCCACTTCTCCCCTGGCTATACCCACTCTGGCCCCCCAAGGTCAAACACAACCCTACGCGGCCCTCAATGAAATTTGAGTTTGACACCCCTGAACTAAAGAAACAGAGGAGCAGCCCACCCCACGCTCTAGTCTTGAACATTTCTTCAGTGTAGCTTATTTGTGTTTTATTTATTTATTTGTTAAATGTATTTGCCGCCTATTTCACTATTCTACCATCGCCGTCTAAGAATGTGCCCCCTTTTCCATCTCTGTGACCAGAGGAATGCCTCTTTTCCAATACTGCCAGTCCTAACTTCAGTTTCTGCCACTCTTTAGCTAGGTGCACCTCAGATCTGAAGCACTGCTGGTGTTCCTATCAGAAGAATTTAATGAAAAGGTGACAAAGGAAAGAAAGTTTCAATCTCATTATCACTTTTGTGTACCAGATAAATACTGGAAACTGGAAGTAAATTTGTTTTTAAAACACGTGTACAGTACTTGCATTGTGCTTTCTAACAAGTTGGCTCAATTTATCTTTCCTTTCTGCTTGGGGGAAGTGCTTTAAAAGTGCTTTAAAAGCGTATATACCTTTAAACCAAAGTATGAGACTGTCAGCCCTTCAAGGTCAGGAAAGAACAATTATTGGAATTCTATTTTTGTTGTCAGGTATTTGAATACCTGCCAGTTTCCCGTTGCAGCCACTTCTTCTGCCATACAGAACCAATGTGGGGTTATTCTGAGTTTCTTTTATTTCTCTCCTTTTCCAAGGCTGAGGTGACGCATACTTTTATCTGCTAAAGGTTTTTGTCTGGTATTCCTTTGTCAATGTTATCTCTGCCGTAGAAACATGGAACAATTTTATTGACTTGAAGTGGATAGATATGGATATCCAGGAAGACTTCTTTCTTTGGATACAAAGCCAATAAATTAAATGTGATCGGCCAGGGTGTTGGGAGAAGTCAAGTCTGAATTTTGAAGTTTCTCAACCATTTTGGTTCTGTCTTCATTTATAATACAGCACAGCATATAATGTTATTGTATTATATGTACCTCTACAGCCTTCAATGGAAAGTCCTTTTCCTTTTTGAATTTATTTGGCATCAACATGGCCTCATGTCAGTGGTGAAATCCAAATTTTTTTACTACCGGTTCTGTGGGTGTGGCTTGGTGGGCATAGCAGGGGAAGGATACTGCAAAATCCCCATTCCCTCCCCACTCCTGGGGGAAGGATATTGCAAAATCCCCATTCCCTCCCCACTCCTGGGGGAAGGATATTGCCAAATCTCCATTCCCACCCCACTCTGGGGCTAGCCAGAGGTGGTATTTGTCCGTTCTCCGAACTGCTCAAAATTTCCGCTACCAGTTCTCCAGAACCTGCTGGATTTCACCCCTGCCTTATGTCTTTTCAAACCCATGTGTCCAACTGAGCCAGTTCGTTTTTTTTCCTCCTTCCTCTCTGATACTTCTCTTTTTCTGCACTTAAGCCATTCCGTTTTGTGGCTGTTCTTCCTCTCAGACTGTCTAGTTTGGGTAAGTTCTCCTTTCAGGCTGGCTTCGCCTTGCAACATGTTTCACCTTGGCTTCATGACATGTATTATTTCACTCTTTCTGGCTCTACTAGTACTAACCCTTTGCTCTTCCCCAGTAGCATATTGGACACCTTCCAACCTGAGAGGCCCATCTTCCAGCGTCATATCTTTTTGCCTTTTGGTACTGTCCATGGAGTTTTCATGGCAAAGATACTGGAGTGGGTTGCCATTTCCATCTCCAGTGGATCATGTTTTGTCAGAACTCTCTGCTATGACCTGTCCATCTTGGTGGCCCTGAAGCTCATAGCTTCATTGAGCTACGCAAGCCCCTTCGCCACGACAAGGCAGTAATCCATGAAGGGGATGTATTATTTAATTATTTGTTCTTACAGCTGTTAACTAGTAGACCTTCTATAATATTTTAACTAATCACTTTTTGGAATACAGCACTTTGTTGATGCTACCTGAATATTTGCACCTTTTTAAGTGTGAAAAAGGATCTTGTACGCAATACAAGAAAAAAAAAAGTCCAGTGCATTTATTGGTTGAATAAGTAATCCGTTCGTGTACAAAAGTTTTTATTCTGTCCCTTTTTCTACTTTAATCAGAGTTATTACTGCTAAATATGTAAAATCCTACATATGCTGGTACTCAACTTTACGACCACAATTGAGCCAAACATTTATGTTGCTAAGTGAGACAAATGATTTTTGCCTCATTTTATGGCCTTTCTTGCCACAGTTGTTGAGTGAATCACTGCAGTTGGTTATGTTGGTAACTTGGTTGTTAAATGAATCTGGCTTCCCCATTGACTGCTTGTCAGAAAGTTGCAAAAGGTGATCACATGACCTCGGGACACTGTAACCGTCATAAATATGAGTCAGTTACCAAACCTCTGAATTTTGATCACATGACCTTGAGGATGCCGCAGTGGTTGTAAGTGTGAAAAATGAGTCATGAGTCACTTTTTTCAGTGCCTTTGTAACTTCGGTCACTAAACGAACTGTTGTAAGTTGAGGACTACCTGTAGTTTGTTGAGTCATGGCTCTTGAGATAAATAGAGCCACTTTTTACTCCATTTCTAGATAAGCAGGAAGCAAGCTGACTTGCTGAGAATTGTAAAAACTCATCTGAAAAAAGGAGTTGAGTCAGATAACCAAGAGGAAGGATCCATTCCAGAAAATTCATAATAGTGTGGGGAATTTTTTTTTCATCAGGCAAATACAATCCTGACCATAAAAGGGCATTTATTTTGTTTGGACTCTGGCAGTCATCTATTTTCTGGGGTTAGCTAAACGTTCAGTCCCAAAGAACTGCAAACAAAGCTAAACAGAACCTCCTTGTCTCTGAACTTACTGAGTGAGGGAGAAGTTGATGAAGCAAATTCATCTTGATATTCAGTTCTTACAGCTTGTAGATTTACTGAAAAAGAAAATACAACTAGGATTCCAAGCTGCACCAAGGGGAACAAATGCAAATTTGCAATTTGGGAAGTCATACTAGACACAGACTGAAATTCAGGGTAAAGTCAATACTGTGGTGAAATGTAATTGTACATAGGAACTAGATAGACTTTCATATCGCCAAGAATAATCTTATATTTAATGGATTTACACATATGCTTTGTTTAATCAGATTTTCACTAGACCTCATTGCAGAGATCAGGATGATGACAAACGGACAAAAGTCGTATCTCCAAAACCAAGCTTTGAAAGCCAAAATATTTTATCACCATAATTGACAATAGACATGAAACGAATTTTCCCCTAGCTGTGTTTTCGTTGTGCTGTCTAAGCTTCCATAATTCCCAGCCAATGTAAGTCATTTATTAGATCTGTAGTCTAACATCTGGAGGGGTTGAGGAAGGTTTGGGCTAATTGTAAGAAATTAGCACAATTTCTCACAAATTAGCAATTTGTGCTAATTGTAAGAAGTTAAGTTTCTAAAGGCTGTATATCCTGTTGCTTCTTGGAACTCTTTTCATAAACTCATAGAATTCTAGGGTTGGAAAACATCACCAAATTTTCTCTGAAATTCTCCATCCCGAAAGGATTTTCTAAAAGGCAACTGGACTTCAAGCTTCTTGGATGAGAAACAAAAGATTTTCAAAGGAAAAAACAACAACAAGAAAATCCAGTTGCCTTTTGGAAAAGCATGTTTGAGACAACCATGACCTAGATGATTGAGAATCTCCATAGACAAGACATCACAAAGATCATCTGTTCCAGCCTTCTGCAATTTGCAAAAAAAACCCCAATCATTCGTGAGAAATGGTTGTCCAATCTATATACTACTAAGACTCTCATATCTGTAACCTTTAACTGGATGAAACAGTATATCATAGGACAAAAGGTTTTGAACCAAGATACCTCAAATGGACTAACTTATGGAATGTGTCCAATATTTTGGACCCATGCAGTGGTGGGATTCAGCTGGTTCAGGCCAGTTCGGGCGAACTGGTTGTTAACTTGCAGGCTGGCCCCCCATACCCCTTCCAGGAGTCCCCACAGCCCGTTTTTGCTCCTGCAGGGAGGCCTACTAGGCCTACTAGGCCCAAATTGGTGCACACCCACCCACCCCCATGGCCCATTTTTGCTCCCAGGGGGGTGCAGGAAAACCGAGTGCTGCCTGTCACACCCCCTGGCCACGTCCCACCATGGCCACGCCCACCCAGCCAGTCATTAGGGCAGAGAACCGGTTGTTAAATTATTTGAATGCCACTACTGGACCCATGATTTGTGGAATTGAAATTTGACAAATTTGATACCGTAAAACTCTTTATAACACAGAAATGATCATAAAGCATTTTATGAATAATACAAAATGTCGTAAAACATTTCTTGTGATCAACCTCCGAAGTCTGACCACTATACAGTTCAGCATGGAGTACTTTCAAGGCAGATACAGCTCTGAAAATATCCCTGAATTATTTTTTTTTCAAGTACATTGGAAGCTCTGCTATCCTTGAAGGCACTGAATCTGGTAAGGAAATATCTCTGGAGGGAGGGATGACCCAAAGGATCACGGATTGTCTAGTCGCTTTTTAAAAATCTCCTGAGATGGGGAAATCCATAACTCCTGTAGGCAAAATATTGTATTCTTATTCTTATACACATCATCAGGAAGTGTTTTTTTTTTTCTATATTTAAACAAAATCTACATAGCTGAAACTTAACATCTGTTATTTCTGGTCTGAGTGTCTGTGACCATGTAGTTTCTTTGTAATTTCCCTTTATGTACTTGAACTAATTGTCTCCCCAAAGTGACAGGAATTTCCCCACATTTACAGTGAATTAATTAAGGAAACGTCTCTTGGTATGATTTTAAACAATTTTTTTCCTGGGGTTCCTGCCACCTGAGCTAATATGGCATTTATGACAAAAGACAGGATAAGATGATGATGATGATGATGATGGCAACTCACTTTTTATTTCTTGATCGTTGAGTTCTCTTCCCTCTTCCCTTCATTTTTTGGCTTCCCCATCATCTCTCCAATTCAGAGCTAAATGATATCAGTCAGTTATCTTACTGATAAAATCTGGTTTCAAGTAGTATTAGTCACTTGTGCACTAATACTTGACTAGTGTTAGTCAAATCTGGTTTCAAGTAGTATTAGTCACTTGTGCAAGTGGGAAATTGTGCAATTGTTGTCACCTTTCCGCCTGGCACAACTCTCAATGTACTGTAGATTCTCTAGTCCTTCTGGGGAAATCTGCTTGCTCAACAGCAAATTCTCAGACATGCCTCATCTTGCGTAGATACTTTACAGAAAGACCTCGAGTTATGACTATCATGGAGCCTGCCATTACGTGATCAGTCTGATTTTACAACATTTCTGTGGTGTTGTTAAGTGAATGCTGCAGTCATTAAATGAAAGCCACGGTTATTAAGCAAACCAATGGTTTGCTATGGATGCGGTTTTGCCGAAAACTGGAAATAACTGCCGGTTTTCAGCAAAA